ATTCAAAGGATTTATTTATAAAGTTACACTGATATATTAGTAATCAGAGTAACTTTAATAAAACATAAGAATATATATATTTTACAGTTTATTAAAAATAAAATTTGACTACAAGGTAGAAAGTAAATCACAATATTTGATAAAACTTCTAAGTATACCATTTTTAATAAATAATAAAACTATTTCTGACTATGATATTTAAAATTTAGATAGATAGAAAATTAAAAAACATACCGGTATTTGCAGACGCAGACCCAAATTCAATAAAAACCAAATTTTTTCCTGCGAAAATCGGACTTTTTTCACAGAAAAGGTATTTTTTGATTTATCAACAATCATTGTCAAGTTGACAATATACAGGGTGTTTTCTAATTAGTCTAAAAAATTGTGGTGTGATTCCTCATGTGTTCTTAAAACAATTTTTATATAACCATTGGGTCTAAAGTACTTCCTTTCTGATCTACAGGGTATTAAAAATTAAAAAATCAATTTTTTGCTTAACATAAATGGCACACCACTGCTTTTTTAAAGAAAATATATTTTTTTCTTGACTGGCCATCCTTTTTCAACAAAATTGATCTTTTGAGTTTTTCTTGTTCATCAAACGGCTGTCGAGAAACAAATAAATATACTTATTAAGAGCCCGCCTTAAACTACACGCACACTGGTGCGATCACGGCCGCGATCACGATCACGATCAGGGCAGCGATAAAGTGTTTGCACACTTAAATCTCTGATCGTGATCGTGATCGCGGCCGTGATCGCGCCAGTGTGCATACAGCTTTAAGCCGTTTTCTAACGATTTTTCATTTTTTAGATTAATTAGGGAACACCCTGTATATGCATATCACAGCCAACCAAATAAACTAGTAACCTCTAAAAAATATTTTCCCACCACTAGCGACATACCGTATTTTTAGTAAGTACTAAATTATTTTATTAAAATTTCACCATATAAGTTTCCAAGCAATGGTTATGACTGAAAAATTCAACTACATTTCCATGTTTTTTTTTAATTTTCTCTAAACGGTATGGACATTTGGAAAAGTATAAACGGGATTAACCATTTTAGAACAAGCAAAAATTTTTATGATGAATATGAATGCATTTTTCTCAAAATGTCAATAATAAAAAAGTTTTTTTCCTCTTCTAAAGACAATCCGGGGACATACTGTATACTGTATGTAGTACCCTCTGTAGTAGTAGTACCTATGTGTTATTAACATGTAATGTTTATTGTAATGATCCAACCGAGGATCCAACGCATCAATGGATTTAGCTCAACCTCGTTTTTCTCAGTAAAATCTCGACTGTTATGAAATATTGGCTGACATATTTTCTGAAAACAGTGCCAGATTTACTGGATCTATTTTCAGACGTCTGGAAAGCGAGTGAAATCACAATAAAAACAAGTGTGGGTTGGCGCCAAAAAGTTCCATTTTCAGTTTCTACTCTTTTATAATTACTACGAATAATTCGTTAATAAGCAAGAAAATCTCCATTGAATGAGGATCTATGGAAATTATGACAATAGAACTATTAGAAATTAAATACCACCTGCAAATAACAGCAGTGGCGGCTCGTCGATGAAGCAAAATTCCATCTTTAGTACTGTAGTACCGAAAAATCTTTAATCCTTATAAAAATCTTAAAAAAATCTACCGCATGTGTATTGTGCGATGAACCATTTTCATCAATGTTGTGGTCCACCGTTGCCACTAATATTCTGATTTAAATGTGATGAACCAATGTTGACACTAATTTGTTGATTTGTTGAGATTTTGTACTTGTTGTAACTAACCACATTTTACAATTTAATTATTTTCGGGGGGCTCAAGTCTTTTGGGGGGACTCAGCTCACTTACATACATACCCGTATACAATATTGTATACAGGGTATCCCAATATTCCGTGAACATAGAACAAGGATAGAACTATATTACGTATTTTTGAAAACGACTCAAACTTTTGTTTTTTAAATATCACCCTCGGTATTTTGTTACTTTATTCGATAGAAAATTACCCTCTGAATAGAATGACATATCATAAGTCAGATTTTGACATTTTCGAATATTGTTGATTTGAAATTGCATGAACATGGCGATTCATAACGACAATTTGGCTCGAAATACCAAATGTGTTGTACCAAATTATTCGTAAAAAATGCTTTTTCCAAATATGCTAATGAGCCACCCTTGTTCCATTTGAAAAAATTGAGATATTATTAGAAATACGGTTTGGGCTTTTTTTAACCGGCCAGGACAAGACACTAAAAACATTAGACGATCAAATCTATTTTTCCAAGGCTCCTTGATTAAAAAATAGTGTTTTTAACACAGCCAATCTAGATTTGAAATTTAAAAGACAATTTCGTTTTAAGCGAAAATGTCAAAAGTTGACATATGATATGTCATTATATTCAGAGTGTTATTTTCTATTGAATAAAGTAAAAAAATACTGAGTGTGTCATTTAAAAATGAAAATTTGTAGTCATTTCCGGTGAAACACGAAGTGGTCGAAAAGAATTGAATACATCAATGAATCCTAATTTATGTCATAAAAAAATATAAAATTCCGTTTTTTTATCTGAAAAATAAAAAGTTATACCGAGTGCGTCTCAAAAGTGGCTCACCCGTATAACTTTTTTATTTTTTCAGATAATAAAACGAGAATTGGTATGTTAGAATATGACCTAAATTAGGATTGATTGACGTATTTAATTGTTTTGGGCCACTTCCTGTTTCACCGGAAATGACTACAACTTTTGATTTTTAAAGGGCACCCCCGGTGGTTTTTTACTTTATTCGATAGAAAATGACATTCTGAATAGAATAACATATCATATGTCAACTTTTGACATTCTCGCTTAATAAAAAATCGTATTGTAAAATACAATTTGTCATGTGAATGCCATGGCCAATGAGTACCATGGCTATGTTAAAAACACTAATTCTTAATCAAGGAGCCTTGGAAAATTAGATTTGATCATCTAATGTTTTTAGTGTCTTGTCCTAGCCAGTTAGAAAATGCTCAAATCGTATTTTAATCATATCTCAATTTTTTCAAATGGAACACGAGGATCGCTCATTAGCATTTTTTTGGAAAAAAGCATTTTTTTACGAATAATTTGATACCACACACTTGGTATTTCGAGTCAAAATTTCAAATAAACCATATGCGAAAATGTCAAAAGTTGACATATGATATGTCATTCAATTTAGAGTGTTATTTTCTATCGAATAAAGTAAAAAAATACCCAGGGTGCCATTTAAAAATCAAAAGTTGCAGTCATTTCCGGTGAAACAGGAAGTAACCGAAAACAATTGAATACGTCAATCAATCCTAATTTATGTCATATACTACCATACCAAATTTTGTTATTCTATCTGAAAAAATAAAAAAGTTATAGGGGGTGAGCCACTTTTGAGACGCACCCTGTAAAGGTGAGCCACTTTTGAGACGCACCCGGTTAACTTCTCTCTATAATTATATTAAGTGTAGTTGTTTATAACAATTTTTACTTCAACTCTGCAATGGGCCACGAGCCGCCACTGGATGACGGTGCTTAAACTACTCGATGAGCGCAGTCACTCCTATTTTAACATTTTAACAGCCATCTGTTGGAAGAGTTGCCACCGCATTAATTATTATTAATTATTATCGAATGTTGTTTTGAAATAGGAATGGCACGATCCAAATACTGTAGTTCGAGCGAATGATTTATTAAATTATTCCTAGCCATAAAACACACTGGATTTACATAAACACATATTTTATTACTTATGTTATATTATTATGGAATAGTATATTTTAACTTTTAGCAAAAAATCTCTTCTATTGTAAAAAAAAACCTTGCCCAATGCCCAACCTGCGACCCCGACTTCAAACAAAAATCAAATCACCCCGGTCACGGACGAGGTCGTTTCAAAGCACTCTGGATCACGCACCCCTGTAAAATAAAAAAAAAAACATTGCGGCAGGAATGAATATTATGGCATTAACTGGCTGTCATTATTGTCTTTTCAGTCAAGGCTTTTAAGGGATTAAACGAATTGTCCCCATTTTAGCGTTAATAATGATAATAATTGTTCTTTTATTGTCTTTTAATAAGGAATACTTTGTTTAAATTTGTATAAATTATAAAAGTTAGTTTAAATTATAAAAGTTATATTAGTCATATTGTTCATAAACTATAATTTTCGAAGTTAAGTTTCTTTTATATAAAGTTTATGAGTCACTTTTTAATTATTGTTAATATTAGTTAGAAGGAAATATTAGTAACAGGAAATAAAAATATTACGCATACAAGTTCAGCAAACTAATATTTTAAACACATATTACGAAATTGTCAAAAGTCTTAGTATTTTTTCGAGCTGAAAATAGTGAAATCTGTAAATTATAGTTTCATCAAGCGATTATTTTCTTAAAAATATCTATGTCAGGGTTTCTGTTTTAGTGGAAGGGGGTTTCAGTATTTTTGATAGCCTATTAAAATCCTAAAAATATCCGGGTTTTATTAGAAAAACGCCTACTATTCTTTTAAGTAATTTTTTGTGTAAACAGACTTTTAGTTAGAGATACGTTCTACCAGATCATTTTTCGGATCAAATAAAATCTAAGGGGATTAGAAATTTAAATAAATATATTATGAATTATGATCATGTAAATATATAATCGATCATTTTGTATGTTTATTGTTGCTTCGACCGAATGAATCCACTTGAAATTTAAGAACTCATCCAACCCAAAAGGATATCCGGTTTTTTACAAATGGGTTTGGTTTCATATGACAATGTAATTTCGTAATTGTTTTTTTTACATACATCGTTTTTATCGTATTTTTTCAACACCTTTATTAATATACAGAGACGTCTTTGTAATATTTAAAAAGCTACGATGTTAAAGCTCATCATTACAAATTTTAACGGTTAATATATTTTTTCGAATTAATTACTGCTTTCTAGTAGATTATTTCTATAATTACTGAATTCTTTTTGTAGAAATCTCGATGGATTGGTCAGACCATGCCCTCTGGTGGCCGGAAAAAAATATCTGGCTGAGCAGAACCAGGTCTACGCTTGACCAATGCGGCGTTCACGCAGATGCCCTTCTGCATTTCACACCAATGCACAAATCCCTAAGAGTCCAGCTTCCTGATCTTAGGTAAGAATAGTTCTATGATTGTAACATACAGTATAACTTCAATAGTCCGGACATTTTCTAGAACGGGCACTCCAGTAGTCCGGACAGGGCTATTATTCGGGCATTTTAAAACATTTGCCTCTGAAATCCGGGCGAAAAAAATCGTTTACATTTTGTTTATGAACTGAGTCTATATTTCTTCATTGGATTCTAGAGCGGGTTAAATATAATAGTTCCAATCAAACGAGCACATGAGATTCTTACACTCGCCGAAAAATTAAAAATATTAGTGTCTCGATTCTGGAAAAAAAACTCGCCAAATTGGGGAGTAGACTATGGTTTCAAAATCTGCAGTGTTTGATATGAACAAACGGGAAAAAATAAGGACTTTTATATCAAAATAATGTCAAAGGCTAGGTAAGAATACCATTATCGATGATGTATGTATAGTACAATATAGTCAAAAAAAAACGGCGTCAGCGATGGCTATGAAATGAAGATCGCTGTCATTTTATACGTAAAATTGTATGGGGAACGTCATCGATGTTCATTTCCAAGCCAACTGGACCCCGTTTTTTTGATTATACGGTATATCTAATGGGGGATCCGTGACGGTGACACATGTGTCTATCGTTTTAAATCACAGGTAAATTGTATTTCATGTCATTTTTTGGATATTATCTGTCGGAATCTTCCCCGAATCTTTGGATAAACTATACCATTGTACAACTGGTTGATACAACAATGAAATGATTACGCACCTATTTCATCAGAAATTTCACGAACCAAAACAGAATTTTTAGCCAGTTATGAATTGCTAGATAAACTCAAGTTAGGGCACGAAACACGTTTTTTTGAAGATATGTGGCCAGAAATTTTACTACTTTCCAGTGATGTCACCGCCGTGATTCCGTTTCAGGAAAAAGTTTAGATCTGTTGCTCTAGATATGACAATATGCAAAGAACAAGTATACAACGCAGATGAGCTCATCAAGAAGAAAAATCAGATCCATATTAAAAGATCGAAAGATCGATCAACTGTTTATATCGTGCTGCAACGCAGCGAGGAATAAGGTTTTTATGGAAAACTATTACTTATCTAAAATTTAGATTAATAAACGTTATTTTTGACAATTTTGGAGTTTGGAGCTCCAGTAATCCGTGCACCTCGATAATTCGGGCGTATGCCGGAACGATATCTGCCCCGACCACTGAAGTGATATTGTACTACTTTTAAAATGAACTTTTAAAAAAAAAATTGTTGTAGTTGAATCAAACTCTATAATTTATTTGTTACAGGTATCTTGACATGAAAGTTGATTTTTCGATAAAAACCTTTTCGGCTGTGGTACACGTTTGCAAGGAACTGGGCATGAGACATCCAGAAGAGTTATCATTTTGCAAGCCTCTGGAACCAAACCACTTGAAATATAATTACAAAGATATGCCAAAGAAAAAGCATGAGCAGAACGGTACGACGAGGAACGGTTTGTTGGCACCAGATACAAACACTTTTATCGGTAATTACCGTAATATAATTATATTACTTTTCTCGATGTACGTTAGGAAATTAATTGATTCTAATTTTCAGCCAATAGTAGTCCAGTGGGAAGTACAGGAAGCTTAGAGAACAGTAGTCCTGTCATGTGCGCCCCTGTGACGCCATCTAGGGGACCACCTTCTTCGACCCCAATTAACAGTCCAGGCAGTGTGAGTGCATAAAAGTTATTTTATTTTTATTTTTATTACATAATCTTTATTTTTCCAGACTGGTACCTGGAGGAAAAACGGCTACGCCAATGATTTCAACGGTTCCGGGTATTCTCCAGGCGTGAACAGCCTGAGTCTGGAACAGTTGAATGGCAGTCTGGATAGTAGTTTGGCCCAGAGTCCATCCACACCCAATCCGGAAGCAAGAAGATCGCTGGTCAGGCCCAAGTCACTTATAGAAAAAGCTAGAATGAATGTAGCGTAAGTATTTTCAGTTCGACTGTTTAAATATGTCGGGACGTATAATTTTGACCATAGCTTCATTCTAATTCAAAATTTTATAGGTGGTTGGATTCTTCGCTGTCAATCATGGAACAAGGAGTAAGGGAACGGGATACGTTATGTTTAAGGTTTAAGTTTTACGTTTTCTACGATCTGAATCCCAAATACGATGCGGTGAGGATCAACCAGATATATGAACAGGCCAAATGGCAATTGCTTAACGAAGAGATCGACTGTACAGAAGAAGAAATGTTGATGTTTGCGGCTTTACAGGTAAAAAAGTGTTCTGCCGTTTTACAAATTAATAATTGATAGATAGATAGATTGATAGGTCCGAGGATAGGTTTTTATTTGAGGAATATGTAACATTAGATACTGAAAAATGTTATATAAAAAAAATGTTTATTTAGGTACATATTCTAAATAATTCGACCATTTCTTTTTTTTAACTTTGACAACTGTATATGTTTTTATCTCTAAAGCCGTGGTCCAACATAACTGACGTAGAGAACAACAGACGTAGAGATAAGCGTAGAGTACAAAAGTAAAATACGCGTGAATCCGCAGTATGCTTCGCCTGTATGTGGGCCCATTTCCAATAACTTCAATGCATTTAAACGCTTCGCGATCCTCTCCGCTCCGTTTGTCGCCTCATGTGGCCCAACATAACTGACGTAGAGAACAACAGACATAGAGAGAAGCGTAGAGTACAATAGTAAAATACGCGTGAATCCGCAGTATGCTTCGCCTGTATATGGGCCCATTTCCAATAACTTCAATGCATTTAAACGCTTCGCGATCCTCTCCTCTCCGTTTGTCGCCTCATGTGGCCCAACATAACTGACGTAGAGAACAACAGACGTAGAGATAAGCGTAGAGTACAATAGTAAAATACGCGTGAATCCGCAGTATGCTTCGCCTGTATGTGGGCCCATTTCCAATAACTTCAATGCATTTAAACGCTTCGCGATCCTCTCCGTTCCACTTGTCGCCTCATGTGGGGCCACGCAGTAAGGGTAAATTATTTGTTTTAATACAGTTGTAAAATACTCCTTTTTCGGTTTTATAAATTTACGTACAGGGTAATTATAAGTAATTTATTCTTCTTGTAGGGTATATTTCTTGAGGTTTGGCTAGATTAAACGTTTCTTTATGCTTCCACAAAAATAAGATACATTCCTGAAGAAAAATAGCTATAACTGTTCATAGATTATATTATTGCAAAATTTACGTCTGCAGGATTTGTTTATTTTAAGAATTAGCATAATGCGAAGTGCCCTCTTTTGACATTTAAACAATCTCAATATCACTACAATTACAAAATAGAATATTATATCGCATTTAGTATGACTTTTAACATTTGAATGATATATACCAAATTCATAGATGACTTGATAAGTTTATATGATGTCCAACTTTGAATAAGAAGACTAAGGAAGGAGCATAATTATTCTATCCATGTATTTATGCATGGTGGGCGGAAAAAGGACTCTAGGCACTAGCGTAACTAGCAATTTATCCTGGGGTGGGCCTGGGGGGTCCTGGGTTTGAGCCCAGGGGGGGCCCAGGGCTTTTGTTTTTTTAAAAATGAAAAATAATTTTAAAAAACACATTCTTTGAATAAAACGTTTACATGAACGTTTACTATCAATAAATTTCATAGACTTGGTTATCAAACCGTGTTCCCGTAGATTACTTAAATACCTAAAATTTTTCTAAAAAAATAAAAATTAGTACATTTTTTGAACACAACAAAATAATATTAACTAAACAAAACTAGAAAACGTCATTTTTACTGTATCACAAGAAAATAAAAATTAATACGTAGCCAAGAGTCATAATTCAGGATTTCTCTGGGGGGTGCCCAGCAGTACCTGGTGGGGGGCCCGGCACCCCCGGGTACCCCTGTAGTTACGCCAATGTAGGGTGGGGATCCTTGACAGTTCTGTTTGACAATTAATTTGACACATTTGAATTTGATTTGAAATTTTGTGGATTTGTCAGTCTTTTATTATGTTATTTATTATTTAGCTTATTTTATGTTATTTATTATTTATTCTACTACTGATAGTAGTACAAAGGTAGTAAATCTAGATGGAAATTGTGCCAAAACTTAAATTAACAGTGACACTATCGTGATTTATCGAAAAAGACTCTAAAATAGTTGGTGTAGCATGCGCTAGATCTCGGCAAAAATCGAGTGAAATAATGGAACAACTTTTCGCTAGTAAGTGACTATATAATATACACATACGTGTAGTAAACCGATCATTTATGAAATTTACTTAAATTAACTAATTATATATTTTTTCTTGCATTTTTGCTTTTATTTACTACTTGTCAAAGATTAGATGTCAAAGAATTTAGATACGTCAATTTGACTTACCTGCTTCAGTAGCGTATCGGATGTTTGTGTTAATAAATAATTATTAAAACTTATCTATTTTTATTATAATAATATGTTTTTATAACAATTTTAATAACTACCAACATTTATTCACAACGTAAAATAAAAAAAAAATTATTGAGTCTACCCCACGTCTACCCTACATCATAGTTTTAAATTTTTTAAATAAAATTAGAACGGCACTGATAAACCGGAATTTAAGTCGGCCATATTTGAGTCCCATCGCGGTGGACTTAGGATTTTTGATATGCTCCTTCCTTAGTGTTCTTATTCAAAGATGTCCAAGAAACATTTTTATCTAAACAACCCAAGATAACGCATTTAAAGTGAGGTAGTTAATATTTAAAATTTCTGGTTTGATTGTGGGTGCATTTTTTGATTTAAATAAAATAATTTTATTAATAACAGCTTTATTATAATAGTTTTTTTAATTTCAGTTACAAGTGAATCTGCAAGCCAGCAAACCTCAACAACAAACCATACCTGAGAGCAATGGTGCCTCCTTGAGCCCCCTCGATGACGACATTGATGCAGCCCTCAACAATCTTCAAACAACTCTAGAAGGGTCCAGTTTAAGTACGCGTTCCAGCGATATCACATCGGTACCCGAACTGAAAGATCAACTTAGATTTCTCAAGTAAGGAAGTACTAATTAAACTTGACAAGTAATACTAGAAAAAGTATGTAAAAAAATAAGAACTTTTTGTGTATTTTAGACCAAAGCGATTCACGCTTAAAGCTTACAAAAAGTACTGGTTCACCTGTCGGGATCTGCACCTGTACATGTTTAAGAATCGCGAGGATATGGTACATAGTTCTAGCTGCGTGATGGACATCAACCTGAAGGGTTGCGAAGTTACCCCCGATGTCAACATCAGCCAGAATAAATATGTCATAAAGCTGGAGGTACCTAGCAGCGAGGGAATGACAGAAATGTATATTCGTTGCGACGATGTTAGTATAGCCCTATTTTTTTTATTTCATGTGTGTGTGTACAGGGTGGCGCACCTCGTTTGCCTCGGTTAATTATAGAAAAATGGAAAGATACTAAATATTTTATGGGTATATGTGGGAAGACAATGAGCATAATTTAAAATTATTTTGAAATGTACAGGATGTGTCAGAACTAAGATCCATAACAAAGTTATATTTTTTCTTATGGAACTCCGGAATTTTATTTCATTTTTGGGTTCTAGGACATAAAATAAGGCATTTATTATAAGAGTTTGATATGTCTAAAAGGTTTGGTTTTTGAGATATTTAAATATGCATGCTATAATAAAAAAAGGTTGTTAACACCCTGTACATTACTTTTCAGAATTAATTTTTGTGCTGACTTTTAAGCCAGGGAAATAAATTTTACTAAAAAATTTTATTGCGTCCTTATTAAATGTATACAGAGGTATCAAAAACTGCTGGTCTATTTTAAATATTTATTTTACATAAAAACTTCGTTATTTCAAATGCAACACTCTGTATTTTTTTAAAATAAGTTGAAGCAGATTTAAATGCTCTTTCAAACTATATTAGGGTTTCCTATACCTATCTGGCTCAGATTTTGAATAAAAAGCGAATTCAATAAAATCGAAATCAAGATGGCTCTCTGGTGTCGCCATATCAATTTTCTAGTGACATTTAATAGCTATTTTAAAAATCATATTAGTTTATGGACTTTATTTAAATTTATAACAGTTTACTTTTATTTAATTTACCCACAGTAGTTTAATAAATATTTATTATTTTATCAAGAAAAATGAAGCAGTATCTGCTGGCGGAAGGAATGGATATGTTCCTAGTTATTTTATTTTGTGAGGAAAATTGCTTGTTGGTCTGAAGGATTTGTGCTCAAAGATATCCAAATAGGAATTGTCTTGATAAGCGTTCCTTTGAAAAACTACTTTTCCTATTTCGCCGAGCTAATAGTAAGGCATAAGAAAAACCTATTAGACAGAAACCTGTCGTTGGAAGTGAAGAAAATTAATTAGTTATCTTAATTAGTTGGTTCTTTTATAGAAAATTCAATATATCTGTTACGGTTAAGGCCCGATGTCCGGTTAATGTTGACATTACCCGGTTAATCTCGAGAATAACACACAACAAAACAACCAAAAACATAATCAAACCCAAACATTAACTTGTTAATGTCGATATTAACCGGGCATCGGACTTTAACCGTAACATATCTACTATAAATCATAATAGAAATAAAGGAACTACTTCTTCCTTTTTCTTGGTAAAATAATAAATACTTATTTATTAAACTATTGTAGGTCTTTTAAATAAAAGTAAGCTGCTGTGAACTTAAACAAAGTCCATAAACTAATATCGACTTTAAAAATACCTTTAACTGTCACTAGAAAATTGCTATGGCGACATCTTGATGGCCATTTTATTGAAAAATCGCTTTTTATTCAAAATCTGAGCTAAATAGGTATAGGAAACCCTAATATAGTTTCACTTATTTAAAAAAATACAGGGTGTTGTATTTAAAATGACGAAGTTTTTATGTAAAATAAATATTTAAAATAGACTAGCAGTTTTTGATACCCCTGTATACATTTAGGGAAGCAACCAAATTGTTTAGTAAAGTTTATTTCTCTGTATTAAAAGTCAGAACAAGAATTAATTATGAAAAGTAATGTACAGGGTGTTAATGATCTATTCTACTGTAGCATGCATATTAAAATATCTTATCAAAAACCAAACCTTTTAGACATATTAAAGTATTATAATAATTGTAATTATTATAATAAAAAACGAGTTATAGTTACTAAGATATTTTTGATATTAAAAATAAACTTAAAACGGTTTTTTTTAATTAAATGTGAGAAAAAATCTATTAAACTTCATACAAAAAAAAATTTGGCATTTCAAATTGTTTTTCAATGCTCTTTCACTTTAATGTTTCAAAAAAGTCTGATCGAGAATTTTAAATTTTTCATATCTCCAATTTTACGTTTTTTAAGCTCCCTGTATAGGGAATGCAATCCCGCAAATACGGGATCCCTCTTAGATTTCGCGGGATCAAAGTTGCGGGATTTACCGTGCGGGATCCGCGGGATCGACACATTACTACTGGGTAACCGAATCGATCTCGATCAAGGTTAAACCGCTTCGTTTCGGGCCGATGCGTCGACGCTCGGAACCCGGGGGATTCCCCTTACGGCTTGACCATTAAAAATAAATGAAACAAACAGGTTAGTTATTAGATTTCTTTCTGGCGTATGTGCGTAAGTGAAGAAAAGCGTTTAACTAGTACTTGTGGACAATTTCGTCAAATAAACTGCCGGACATAATTATCGGGACAAACAAAATTTTAGGGTAAATTTAAAGTTGAATATCTCTTGAACTAAAAAAGATTTTGGGATGCGGTTTGGACCAGGTTTTAGATGCATCTATTGTGATTAAGATGCTATGTGGTTTTCGAAAATATATTTAGCGAATTCTCATATACAGGGTGTTTTATAAGAGTGTGAAAATTTGGTTAAGAAAGTTTTTTACCGCAAATTTACAATTTTTAGAAAATCGAAATTTTTACCAAGTACGACTAATATCTATTGAAATTAGAAAAAAACAATGTGATTGTTTTTTTATTTTTTTTTGTTTTAAGGAAAATACGACGTTTTTTCGAAAAATACGTATTTTTAGTCATACGTATTGTCCTAAATGGTACAAAAAGCTTTGTACATTCTGCATATGCCAAAAAATTATTGATATAGAATGTATCTAAAAGCAGATAACACAAGTTAAAAAAAACTTCAACGTCAGAATAATATTTTTATTTATAAAATCAGTAGATAAATTATAATAAAATTTAAGTTTATTTAATATTAAATATATTTTTTGAACACCCTGTATACATCGGTCCAAATTTCTGTACAGCTAGTTTAAGATACACGCTCTATCAATATATTGTGGGCCTATGCAAAATGTACAATGCCTTTTGTACCATTTAGGACCAAATGCATGACTATTGTTTACAGTCCCGCAATTTTGCGGATCCGCGGGATTGATTGCTTTAATCCCGCGGGTTTGCGGGATTGAGATTTTGGTGCGGGATTGCATTCCCTATCCCTGTATATTAAAATTTATATTTCGCAACTTCAATCATATTTAAATAACAAGCAAAAAAAGTTACAAAGAATGACTTTTTTTTTGAAAAATCGATAATAAACAAGTTTACAAGTATAGTTAAGAAAATCCGTGGACACACTGTATACCAATCACAATACTATACTTATTAATTTTTGTAGCGCATATTCAGAAAATTTTATTATTTATCACTCTCTTAAATATTTAGAACATTAAATTAGTACTCTACAGCTGTTTATTTTTCTTTCTTTTTTTAAAGGAAACCCAGTATTCGAGATGGATGGCTTGCTGTCGTCTGGCGGCCAAAGGTAGGTCCTTGGCTGACAGTTCATATGAAACAGAGAAACAAACTATTTTGGACTTTTTGAACTTACAAAGGCGTGCAGAAGAACCGTACATAAATCCCAGCAGCTTGGACATCCAGGTGGAAGACTTTATCTCGCCTAAATACTTGAAAAGATCCAGAGGGAAGGTAAAAAAATCATCCATACTTTTAACGAATATTTGAACAACATGGCAACTTAGATAAATGTTTGTCATTACAGAATACATATTATAAGTAATATTCCTATAAGACTAGCATATAGGGTGGTCCGAATATTCAGGAAATTTTAGTAGCATAGGGCAGTTTATTCTACCGGTTAAAATAAGTAAAAAAAATATATCCTAAAATGGCTTCGTGTCGGAGATACAGGGTGTAGAAAAATACGAGCGAAATTTCGCTCGAGCTATCGCTTGAAACTCGAGTAGGTACTCTGGACTATTGGAATTAATCGGGTTTTCCCACCACTAACAGAAAACCGTATTAAAGTGGGACAGCAAGAGAGAGGGAAGGGGGAGTATACCGACGATCTTTATTGTGATTGGTTTGGTTTGATTTATTCTTTTATTACCATACTCTCCCTGTTTATAGCATTATGCATGTTATTGACTTCGTACTCATTTGGCGGAGCACAGAGGGCCAGCGGACCATATTTTATGGAAAAATTTATCTCATTCAATATGTGTTAAAATTACAAAATCAATACAAAATATGAAAAAATGAACAATTATTAGCCTATAAGAAATGGTTTATACAGGATGTTACAATATTAACGCACATAAAAAATCATTTTCGCAGATTCAGTTCAAAGTCGCACCTTAACTAGTTTCCAAAAAATGTATGAGCCTAGAAGCATCAAATTGTAAAAAAAATTGTTATACAGAGTGTCCCAAAAGTCAGAAGTAATCAACTTTTAATAAAACTAGTTTTTTCTTAAAAATCGGTTTTTAAGACTTTTGACGAAATTGCATAAAAATATGATAACAACTGTACCTTCATTTTATTTGTAATTATTTTGAAAATACAATATTTTATCAATTTACTTATTATTACTTATTGAAAAATATATATTTTTTATTTATTTATTAATACTCTGAAACTATCCAAATATATTTACATCTCATCTTAGGATTATGTAAAGTTATCAGAAAGGAAGCCAAAAATGCAATAATATAAAAATGTTCCATTTAAAAAAAATCATCTGGGTCCACTCACACTTTTTTGAGCAACCCTATAGAAGTTAAAATATTTTCCTGAAATAGATCCTTGTACATACGTTAGGTTTGCACTTAAACAACATTTCCAAGTTTTTTGTTCTAAGAGATGCCTGACGCATTATTGCCACCATTGCCGGACTGTGCATCCAACAGAACAATATGTTCTACCACACAGGGTGGCAGTTTGGGGCCGATTTTTTTTTGCGCAACATAAAAGTATAAAGGCCACCACCAAAAAAAATACGATATTCCTACATTTTTTTTAAATCCTTCATATATAAAAGTTTTTTTTTGAAAAATATATTTTAACAAAAATGACCGTAATACAAATACGGAAAAATATTATTAAAATGTGAAAAAGGGCAGAAAAACAGTAAAAACTTACCCCTATCATCTACATTCATCATAAGAAAAATATTTGTAAAATGTACGGTTTAAAAAAATTACAAAGTTGAAACTCGTGTGCTGCGATTTTCGCAAAGCCTACTATCAAGTGAAGTGATTTTCGACATGTTACGACAATTCCATTATTCATTTGTTTTTGTTTTGTGATGCTACAAAGCCTACTTGTTGCTTGTTGTAAATTGATAAAAAAATTTATGAAATAATAATATATTTTTTTGGAGATATTCAATGTTTTCAGTAACTCTGGCCCTCTGTGCGGCTTAAATTCTTTACTAGCCTTATAGGAGCATTACTTACGTATATGATAATAGATTTCTTATAAAATGTTTTTATTTCGTAGCTCACTCAAAGAATTTTGGAAGCTCATGCCAACGTTAAAAATTTGTCATTGGTTGATGCCAAAATGAACTACATCAAAGCGTGGCAGTTGCTTCCAGAATATGGTATAACACTCTTTGTGGTTAAGTTTATGGACTGTAAAAAGGAAGAGCTGTTGGGTACGTCTCTTAATCATAATTTAGAATATCGTAATATATTTTGTCTATTTAGGTGTCGCTTATAATCGAATAATGAAAATGGACATCAACTCAGGGGACCATCAGAAAACATGGCGATTTAATACGATGAAAGCGTGGAACGTCAATTGGGAAATCAAACACATGATGGTGCAGTTCGAGGAGGGAAACATCGTTTTCAGCTGTCTGTCGGCCGACTGCAAAGTAATTCACGAATTCATTGGCGGTTACATATTCTTATCAACCAGGTCGAAGGATGCCAGTCAAACACTCAACGAAGAACTCTTCCATAAACTAACAGGTGGATGGTCTTAACAATAAAAACAGCAAAGAAGGAAGAGGATTTGTTAGAATTTTTGCGCCTTGTTAACACACATTAACAATTTCTAGACCTTATAATACTTTATGCAAATTGTAGACTTTGTCAATACCATCCTAACTGTGCATAGTGGTAATATTTGTTTTTTTTACAGAATTAACTCGTTATATAAACTGTTTTATTTGTAAATAGTAACTTGTATCGTGTTTATATTTGTTAATTATTGAAAGGGTATTTTACCATTTTCTTGTATGATTCAAGGTTTGACACAAACCTATTTATTAAAATTTGTAACATATATGCTTGGTACTAAATTTATTGTCGTTTAGGTTGTAGGCGATGAACGCACAAATACATAATAAAGTGCCTCTACCGTTTCGGTGTGAATAAATGTCTAGTTTTAATAATGTTACTAAGTTTTAAAAAAAATATATATATATATTTTCCATGTTTTACACAAAACAGTTAACTTCCAGAAATTTTATATATACAATTGATATTATATTGTATAAAATAAAAATTAATAAAAACACATTATTAACACGTTATTATTTTATTTTGTATGCCCCACATAGATGAAAGAAAATATATCTATGAGATAAGGTAATAATCTCGGTAATAATAATTAGAACTAGCATACTAGTAGGGTGAATGTGGCTGAATGTGCCAGTAATGGAGCAGTTTTTGGTTTCAAGGATTCGTATGATTTTAAAGAAAAGTGAATTCTAAATTGGAATCTTAATAAGTGGTTTTATAGAAGCGAATTTGTACAGGTATCTATTTATGACAAAAAATAGAAAATAAATGTTTATAGCAATTTTTTCTATTTTTATTTAATAGAAGGTATTTGGACGTGATTTGGACACCGTAGTAGGTGAATGTGGCTGAATGTGCCAGTAATGGAGCAGTTTTTGGTTTCAAGGATTCGTATGATTTTAAAGAAAAGTGAATTCTAAATTGGAATCTTAATAAGTGGTTTTATAGAAGCGAATTTGTACAGGTATCTATTTATGACAAAAAATAGAAAATAAATGTTTATAGCAATTTTTTCTATTTTTATTTAATAGAAGGTATTTGGACGTGATTTGGACCACTCCATAATTTGGACACCGTCCAATTCCGTAATTTGGACATCTGGACACTGGAAACTGCTGGAAATCAAGTAGTCGGACAAGACGTGATTGGTCAGTTATGAGCACTACTTTCGGATTAGATATTGTTTATAATTCTGCTATTCACGATTCGAAATATTGGCTGTACCTTTTATTTAACAAGAAATCGTTAAAATTATATTTTACATCCTATAACAGATCCTATGTTTACATCAATGAAAGAACCTGCTAAATTTAGATTTGGCAACATGGCCAGAAATAAAAAGAAAACAAGTTTTATCAGGTTTTATTTCTTTGTCTTATGACTATGACGTTACCTAACCTTGACCCATCATCCTTGATCTGATCAGTGTTGCCAGTCTGTTACAATTGTAATAGATCTGTTACTTTTTCAGTAAGTTTATTACTTTTTTACCTTTTTAAGAAATCTATTACCTTTTACCGCTACGGCCGGCAGCCATCGTCAGTCGAAAAAGTTAAAAACTTAAGATCATAGATAAATGCAACAAGTTTAGATTGGAAAGCCCGTAAAAATTTTAGGCCGCGAAATTATTTTGGGTCGCGACCGTTATACGCGATCTGGCGCTACTATAGCGGTCGCTAAGAACAACGGCAAACAAAAACAGAAATAATTTTCTCTTGTCAAAGTCAGAATCTTCAAAAATCATAAATCTTTCAAAATCCAAACCGCTCTCATTAAAGAAATTCCGAAAAGTGTTTATATAGCGTCCATTTTCAAAGTAATAATTGCTATCTTGTGAGTTTAATTCAAGTTTTATTTACTCCAACCGGTGATAATTGTGAAAAAGTGGCATTAAAAACTTAAAAAGCTGTGCTATGAACTGTGAACTGCAAAAACCATCGTGGATCGTAGCATAACGTCGGTTTCCAATGTTTCATAGGTATTTCATACATGCGTCCTTAAAATAAAGTTTCTTGTATGCAACACAATGTTTTTTATTTATAAAATTAAACGAAAATAATAATAAATTTGAATAAACAATATTTGGCGATATAATTCCGGAAAAAGCCGAACCGCTCCGAAATTTTCAAAAGTTTTGGGTCGCGACCGTTGCAAGAATAGCGCCAAATAGTGTTTACATTGTCGTTATGGGCACTTTCCAATCTAAACTTGTTTCATTTATCTATGCTTAAGATCCTTTAAAGCTGATTGAAACATTGATTTTATGACAAACATGATTACAGTTTTCTAACTTACCTCGAGGCTGCAAGAAAAACCCAAATTGTTCACATATGTTGTTCACATTGTCCAGCACATTGTCAACAAAAGTAAGTGACTTGTATAGGAACCTTTTACCATAGATAAATGCAACAAGTTTAGATTGGAAAGCCCGTAAACATTTTAGGTCGCGAAATTATTTTGGGTCGCGACCGTTATATGCGATCTGACGCTGCTATAGCGGTCGCTAAGAACAACGGCAAACAAAAACAGAAATAATTTTCCCTTGTCAAAGTTAGAATCTTCAAAAACCATAAAATCTTTCAAAATCTAAACCGCTCTCATTAAAGAAATTCCGAAAAGTGTTTATAGCGTCCATTTTCAAAGTAATTATTGCTATCTTGTGAGTTTAATTCAAGTTTTACTTACTCCAACCGGTGATAATTGTGAAAAAGTGGCATTAAAAGCTTAAAAAGCTGTGCTGTGAACTGTGAACTGCAAAAACCATCGTGGATCGTGGCATAACGTCGGTTTCCAATGTTTCATAGGTATTTTATACATGTCCTTATATAAAATAAAGTTTCTTGTATGCAACACACTGTATTTTATTTATAAAATTAAAAGAAAATAATAATAAATTTGAATAAACAATATTTGGCGATATAATTCCGGAAAAAGCCGAACATGAGCCGAACCGCTCCGAAATTTTCAAAAGTTTTGGGTCGCGACCGTTGCAAGAATAGCGCCAAATAGTGTTTACATTGTCCTTATGGGCACTTTCCAATCTAAACTTGTTTCATTTATCTATGCCTTTTACGAAATTTTCTTAAAAAAGAATATATTGACAGGACAGATTTAAAAAGTATTAATACTAGTGATTAGTGATCCATCAAATTTTGTAACCCTTGAATCAATGTTATTTTGGGACAAAAGCTGAACTATTAATAATTTGTTGTTATTTTTTTAGGGCTGCGGCTGATAATGTCTGTCTTAAGAGGTTCATCTTTTTGTATTTTTTTCGGTTTGGTATAATAAAGTACCTACATCATTAGAATTGTTTTTCATTACTAATCAAAATTTCAATTTTTTGAACCAAACCCGCGCCAGTGCCACCAGATGATGCTAGGTTTATACAGGGTGTCCCAGAAATAAGTGCAAATATTTTAAGGGGTGGTAGATCTCGTCAAAAGAAACATATTTTCTCTTTGTCGTTTTTCAAATAAGTCCAAAATAACGGAGTTATTGTATTTTGAAAATTTCAAAAAAAAATATTTTTTGCTGTAATTTTGAGAACCACTGGATCTTTTCTGGATTTTCTCACGATTTTCTTTCTTGTAAATTTAATATAATACCCATATTATCAAGAAATTAAGTTTTTTTACTAAAAACTAAAAAATTTCCAAAAACAAATTTCAAAAAATTTCGAATTTTCAAAATTTTTTTTTCGCGAAAAAAACTATATACTACCAGTTAAAATATTTGCATTTGTTTCTGGGACACCCTGTATATACTTTAGACGTTTTCATAAGATGTCGCCAAAAATATTACCCTCTGTCAAAGTCAAAATCTATTACCATTTTCAATGGGAACTTGTTACCTTCTGCCACATCAGTCTGGCAACACTGGATCTGATATATTAGGATTGTTTACCAATTTGTTTTTGCAAATTTTCCTGTTTTATGTATAGAATTGGATAAAAAGAAACAGAAAATAGCAAAAACCTGAATGTTTACTGAATACAATATGTGCCAGAAAACATTTAAAATGTGACAAATTACATTTGTTATATTTTTGTATTTCTGAAAAACGGTAAGAGAAAGAGACCGACAAAAAAGTCTAAATTATTATATACACCAAATTATTGTAGCCTGATTATAGCGTTGTCTCTGTTAATATATGTATAGTTTAAAGATCAAAGATCCTTGGCTTAAATAATCTCATTTATAATTTTACCTACCCGTAGAGTGAAAAATTAATAATACCTACTTATATCTAGGGATTCATTCTGATTCATTTATGTATTTTGTGTGTATATATTGTGAGCATAGATAACTGGGCTAATTATTGCTGTTCACTGATTTGGTACTTTGACTACTTAGTATATTCTTTGATTTGGTATGTTTGTGTTTTTGATAACCTTTAAAACTTTGACTTTTTTTTTTATCAAAATTCATCTTTTATGTTTCAGTTTCCGAAGAAAAAGCAACATAATTTGAAAATGATTTTGCTTACTCTTTTTTTATTATATCATGTATTTCAAGAAAGTTCTGGTGCTTTTCCTAATTTTTACACCAAAATATATTCAGAACAAATTTCTGGTGACTCCGGCGAACCACTGATTCTTACGCCCCTTATTGAGCAGAACAAAATCCAAGAAGCTCAGAATATTTCAAGAGTATATTTTAATGGGTTTAAAAATGTCACTAGCTATTCTGGATATTTCACTGTAGATAAAACATTTAACTCCAATATGTTTTTTTGGTATTTTCCTGCTGTCACAGATTCAGCACATGCTCCTGTTGTTTTATGGTTACAAGGAGGACCCGGAGCATCTAGTTTAATTGGTTTATTTGCGGAAAATGGTCCATTCTCCGTTAAAAACAAACATGGTTTGAGATTAAGAAAATATTCCTGGACTGAAAATCATAATGTTCTTTATATTGATAATCCTGTTGGTAAATAATCTGAATGTCTTATTAATAGGACAAATAAAAATTTTAAAAATACAACAATTTGTGTCAGGTACTGGATTTAGTTTTACTAATGGTGGATATGCAAAAACCGAAACTAAAGTTGGAGAAGACTTATACACTGCACTTATTCAGTTTTTTACATTATTTCCTGAATTACAAAAGAATGAATTTTTTGTTACTGGAGAATCTTATGCTGGAAAGTATGTTCCTGCTGTATCATATGTTATACACCAAAGAAACGCAGGTGCAAAGCTTCAAATTAATTTACAAGGTAGGTTTGGAGGAATTTGTTATCTAATAGGTTATTTAATTTTCAAGTACTAATTGGCAATAGAGTTAATATTTCTTTTATTAAATGTGAACTTTTATATTGTTTGAATAATTTTCTTCTTTAAGGTTTGAGTATTGGGAATGGTCTTAGCGATCCGGAACACCAATTGAAATATGGCGATTACCTTTATCAACTAGGTTTGATTGATGCCAATGCCAAAAAGACTGTTCAAGATTATGAACAGCAGGGAATTAATTATATTCAGAACAGGCAATATGATAAAGCTTTTCAAATTTTTGATGAACTTCTTAATGGAGACACCAACAATCACACTTCATTATTTAAAAATATTACAGGATTTGATAATTATTTTAATTTTTTGTATCCTATAGATCCTTTGGATATCGATCTAAGGAATATGGCAAAATATTTACAAAGATCTGACATTAGAGCTGCAATTCATGTAGGAAATACCAGTTTTAGTACAGAAACTGAAGTAGTTGAAGTATGTAGATAAGTATAATAAAGACAGATTTACTATTAACAATTCAAATTTCAGAAAAATTTGATGTTTGATGTAATGCAAAGTATAGCCCCCTGGATATCAGATCTATTAAATAATTATAGAGTGTTAATTTATAATGGACAATTGGATATTATAGTGGCTTATCCTTTAACAGAAAATTACCTTCAAAATTTAAATTTTGCAGGTGCAGATGAATATAAAACTGCTAAAAGGTAATGCGTCAATACACTTATCAATTTATGTATATTTACAATTTTAATATTTAAGATACCAATGGTATGTTGGAAGTGATATAGCAGGCTATGTTAAACAAGCTGGGAAATTAACAGAAGTTCTTGCTATGTTAAACAAGCTGGGAAATTAACAGAAGTTCTTGTAAGAGATGCAGGTCATATGGTTCCTGCTGACCAACCACTGTGGGCATGGGATATGATATCAAGATTTACAAGAAATAAGCCATTTCATAGACAAATATAATAATCCTACTCTGTACCATCTTTTTTCTTAATTTCTTACTTTGTGTACTCTCGTCAAAAATAAATTAATTTAAATTTATCTGGATTTGTTTTCAAATAATATTTTGTTTTAATAGGTTTATTTCTATTTTATTTACAAATGATAAAATCTACATTTTCACTAATTTTTTAAACTTAAAAACTTAATCTTTACTAGTTAAAAACTTTGATAGAAAATCGGTTGGTTTAGGTTCAATCGTTTCTTTAAAGTAAGACATAATATGACCCTTTTGCTTCCAAATATTAACTGTTTCTTTTAACTCCATTTGACCCTAAAGGACATAAAATACAATTTACAGTGAGAAAGAAAATGGTGTTTTATGTTACCTTAATTACTAACATATCAATTATTCTGATATCTCTAATATCTTTGTGCTTAGTAAATTCTTCACGTAGTTTATTCCTACAGTCATTAACATTTTTAGGTATATCATACTGGCGAACTATAAAATACACTAGTGTTATGTAAAACAAGAGAGGATAAATTCACAAACCTATATAGGGCAATTGCCGATACCAAGCTTTGTATAAATTTAAAACACGCTTTCTAGCTTCATCTCTATCCAATGATAATATTGGTCTAACCTGTTTTAAACCGTCTCTAGCTACTTGAGCCATTTATTCAGGAAAAAATATTAACTTTGAACAAGAAATTTTTGTCAGAAATTCTGAAAATGAAATGCCAAAATGACAAATCACAGATGATATATGACATATGACATGACAAATTAGGCAACTGAGTGAAATCAGAAAACTGTAATCAAAGGGAAACACATTTTATGGTAAACACTAAGAGATAACAGATGTCTCTTATATCGCAAAACAAACAATTAATTTTCTATTATTTATTATTTATTTCAGGATACATTTGTGTAACATTTTATTTTTCTATGTAATATCACTAATTTATAGGTAAAAATATAATGTCAAATGTAAAGAACAAGTTCATATTTATTGATTTTATAAACTTACGCACATTATGTATCTAATATTTACATAAAAAGTTTGGAATGGTTTTTGAAGTAAAAAAAAACAAAACTAACGACTTACAAGAATTATAATGGAAAATGGAACCAAATACCCTAGTAAATGACATTAGTCTATGCAAATACCGTATGATCGAAAAAAAAAACGGCGTTAGCGATGGCTATGAAATAAAGATCGCAGATCGCTGTCATTTTATATATGTAAAATTATATGGGGAATGTCAACAATCGTCATTTCCAAGCCAACTGGACGCCGTTTTTTTCGATCATACGGTAGCTTTACGTATGATTGCTTATACCTGTGCTTATACCTATGCAGTGCCTTGCGCTAGCTTAATTATTCAACACCCTTTAAACAATTGACACTCTAATTTTATATTCTCATTACAAAAGATTGGACAATTAACAAGAAAATAAGATTGTATAATTACAATTTGGATATGTTAACGTGCCTAAATTTAATCTGCTTTTCTAATGAAGTTATAAATTAAATTGTAACTCCACCTGGGTTGATCCGCAGGCACCATATGTCCTGCATTTCTCACTAGCACCTCCGTAAGATTCCCTGCAGTTTTTCTATATCCGGCAATTTCATTTTCAACTCTCCAAATTCTTCTTTTAGCATGTTTGTACTCCTGAGACGCGGTAAAATTGAGTCTCTTCAAGAAATTTACTGTTGTTGGATAGGCGATGATTATATCATCTTGACCGCTGTATAATAAGACTCTATAATGATCCAAGAGCCTTGAAAGTATCGTTGCCTCACTCTTGGCTATGTCCAACCACAAATTCTTTTCTACAGTTTGCTTCATTTCTCCGAATTTTACGTTGCCTACGTGAATTAATTTTCTGATCTCCTTATTTGTGACAAACTTTGTCCAAGTTTGATTGACCTCGTGAAGCAATAAAAAATTATACACTGATGTTAAGCCTGTTATATTTAAAATTAAAGGTTTTTGGGTATAACCTGTCACTAAGCTATCTAGGGCATTACCTGCTGCAAGAAAATTGTTGTTTTTGATATAGTTAATAATTTCATCTTCATACTTCTTAATTAGTTGCTTTTCATTTAAATCAACAAGCCCCAATTGATATAAATAATCACTGTAAATAATTTGATTTTCAGGATCAACATATCCATTCCCTATCATTAAACCTTGAAGATTTATTTTTATTTTGGCATTAATATTTCTTTTTGAAATAACGTTTCCGATGGAAGGTATGTATTTTCCCGCATAAGATTCACCAGCAATAAAGAATGTGTTTGATTGTAGTTGAGGGAATAACTGGAAGAACTGTATGAGAACGTTATACAAATAGACACCTAAAATAGTCTGATTTTGTACGTAGCCACCTTGACTTGTGTAACTGAAACCAGTACCTACAGGCTGGTCGACATAGAGCACTGAGTGATTTTTACTCCAGTAAGTGTCCCTTAGTTCAATAGATCCATTTGATGACGAAATAAACGGCCCGTTCTCCATAAAAAGGCCATTCAAACTAGACCAACCTGGTCCACCTTGTAACCACATTATTACCGGGTCGTTCAAACTATATTCGGATGGAAAGAACCAAAAGAATATGTTAGAGTCGTAAGTCTTGTCAACGTTAAAATATCCCGAATAGCTCAGCAGTTTAGGAGCTTGTGAAGTTTTGAATCTTACTTCAGCTAAATTTCTTGCTTCTTCGATTTTTCCTTGCTCAATGAGATCGGTAAGTATCAATGGTTTGTTTGCATCTGGACGGCTCAAAACCAAACTAGTCATTTGCCACAAAATTACAAAAGATATTGCGGAATGGATTTTCATTCTGTGTTTCTGAATACTGTAAGGAATATGTATATATTTTTAATTATGGTGATTTAAATATTAAATAAAATAAAGTTGAAATTTAATTACACTCAGATACAAAAAAACGCAACGGAAAAATTTTGGGTCAAGTTTAAAATGTAATATATTTTTTTTATTTTTAGCCATACTTCCTTGATTTTTTTAGCAAACTGTTTATAAATATATGAACTATAATTTTTAAACTCAGTTTATTATAAACTTTAGTATTTGACTAATATACAGGGTTAATAGAAGAGTTGTTTTTTACCCTATTTTTAAAACACCCTGTGCAATAATTTCGTGAGCAAATTTTCCTAAAACATTATTTTTCGGTCAGAACCATGTCTCCTGAATATTTTGTTTTTTGACTCATGTCTTGTTAATTTCTAAGAGCAAAATAAACTTGCCACAAACATTTTGCAATTTTTTCAATTAATCGTTACTTTTTGATGTTGTTCTTCATCTTTGATAATGACGAGGTGGCTTTGGTGGTTATTGTTGTGTATGATAGAACATGGTTCTTTAGTGTCGAAGATTGTGCAAAAGTTATTAATCTTGTTGATGATGGCCGAAATTATGAATATTCGTTTGGTTCTTTAAGAAGAATGGGAAAATATAACGCAATATATTTGCAGGCTCATTAACAGTATGATTAGACGTCTACAGATACAAATAGTTATAGCAGCCGGGGGAGGAATACAAAGTATTAGAGTATTTTTTACAAGTGTTTTGTTTGTTTGTACAGTTGATTTTTGTATATCCTTAGTTTTGTTAGTGTTACTAACATTTATTAAAGCCAAGCCTGTTTCGTTACTTTTAACATTTTTTAAATTTTAATATAGAGTTCTAGTCAGTGTCGATATCACATTACGACAATAGTCACCAAAGCTACCTCGTGATTTTAAAAAATATCATCATAAAGTAACGATAGTTGAAAAAATTGTAAATTGTTGATGGCTGTTCATTTTGCTCTTAAAAATTAACCAAGGCATGTGTTGACGTGAGTCAAAAAACAAAATGCTGAGAAGACATGGTTCTGATCGAAAAATAATGTTTTTGGAAAAGTTACTCACGAAATTATTGCACAGAGTGTTTTAAAGTTAAGGTAAAAAGCAACCCTTCAATTAACCCTGTATAATAGCCAAATACTAAAGTTTATAAAAAACTGAGTTTACGAATTAAAGTTGATTAGATTTATATCTCTCTTCAGTCCCTACGTGAGAGTATGGTGACATCATGTGTTGATTCCCCTTCCTCGGGCCAAGTTGCTCGACACTGCGCCATATGTGAGGATCATCAGGGAGGTTGTGGCTCACTAGGGTTTTGACTTGGTCTACCCACCTCTTAGGTGACCTTCCACCAAATACGTTTAAATTAACTATACCGCGGCCTCCCCATAAGAGCAATGAGAGAATTTAAGTCTCAGTATTGAAGGAGGACAGAAAAGTCGAATGGTTTCAATACATAGGTTCATCCTTGTTTAGTCAAACCTCCTACCACACAAGGATAGACTTATGTAGGAAATGCATTGAAATTCTATAGCCATCCTTTAACATCGGGACAGGAATTTAAGCGGTACTCTCCGTATAGGTAATTTAAACGTATTTGCCTTCCACGTAATCGTCTTCCCTCTATCTTCCCCTCCACCATCAGTCTCTTGAGGTGCCACTCCTGGCAATATGGCCAAAATATTGGAGGATTGACTGATTCAATTTGGTAGTCAGACGTGTCTCAATTTTTATTTCTTTAATAGAAATGTTTGTTCGATGAGTCGTTCATGGTATTTGCAGCAACTGTCGATATACCCACAGATTTATATACAGTTTGCTAAAAAATTAATGAAAATAGGGCTAAAAGTAAATTCTTGGATTTTATGCAATTTATACCTTTGCATTTTTCGACAAAAAAGGTAATGAACAGATTTGTAGAGAATTGAATTCCCCACAACTTTTGTATAAGTAATTTTCCAAAAAAAAATGGTATTTATTGCAATTAATTAACAAAAAATGTAATTAACAAAGAGTAAAAATTATGACATGGATGAGTTTTTTTCCAGATTTCAATTATTATTAATAAAAGTAAGTGGCATATTTAAAAGGCAATTTTATAGAAGAGTCAATTCTCCAGGACTTTTTATAAGCAAGTTACAAGCAAGGGAAAAATGCTAAACATTCTAGTGCGCTAGAATCGAAAATGGGTTAATATTTTGAAAATTTTAAAACGCATGATTAAAAAAAGAAAATATTACACATTAAATTAAAAAAAAATGATTAGATAGTCGTTGTCCTTCTCTATATTATTGCCAAAATATCGATATCCTTTATTTTTGGGAAAATAAGTTGAAATTGAAGGAAAATTGTTCCTCTAAGAATGGTTCCTGTGATATTTACCTTTTTTTCTATAGTACTAGCTACATACAGGGTGGCCCATCGAAAACGTTCCGCAAGGCATAACGGCCAGGGTATTCTTTTTTTCAAAAAATCCAAAAACACGTCAATTTTGATTGTGAGGGGGACAACTTTTGCCCCAAAAATGATTGCAAAACATTCAACCCTCTGAGCGGGGGTGTCATCCCCCAACTTTTTTCAACTGGGAAGGGGGGTCTAAAGAGCTTTCTATTCTCTATATTTCCACGCTGTTTTTGAAAATCGGTCGAGTCATTGAGAAAATATGAAGGATTGAAATTTGAAACGTTTATTTAAACATTTATCAGAGTAAATGATAAGGGTAAATTCCTTCGACCAATTTGAGTTTTTTTCTTATTATTTCTAGATGTTTACGCATTTTTTCACTTGCTACAAGGTTGAACGGTCAGGTGCGGTAGTTGCTCGATAGCTGCTCTGTGACTTGTGCGTTGAAGTTCTTCTCAATATCGTTAAACTGACCCACAATAGAATTTCCAAAAATACCAGACGACACCTTCAATTTCTGCGGGTTTTGTGTGTGCACTTCGTGAAAAACCCTGGGGTTGTCCTCAGCCCAGTACCGACAGTTGTGCCGATTAACTACATCGTTCAAAAAGAAAGTACACTCATCCGAAAAACACACATTAAATAGGAAATTATTATCATTCGCCACTCTTTCACTCATATTTTCACAAAATTGCAAGCGACGATCAAAATTATTGTCTTCGTTGAGTTCTTGTACGAACTGAATTTTGTACGGGTGGAACTTGTATTTTTTTAATATCCTTTGGACATTTGCACGATTCACGCCGGTCTCATTGGCTAATTTTCTTGTACTCAGCGTACTATCCATGGCAACTTGGCCCAATACGAATACCTCCATAGCTTCATTTACTACAGGATTTTCCCTCTGCGTCTTTTTATTCATAATGGAACCAGTTTCGCGAAATTTTGCTACTAACTCGCGAACAATTTTGCCATAAAGGCGTTTGTCAGTATGGCGTTCATGCATTGAATATCTGCGCAACCCGATTGCCACATTCATTATTTTTAAAATAAAGTTCGATTATTTCCACTTTTTCTGCAAGTGAGTACACCATAATAATTGTTAAAAAGTTTAACGATATTGAGAAAAACTTCAACGCATAAGTCACAGAACAGCTATCTAGCAACTACCGCACCTGATCGTCCAACCATGTGGCAAGTGAAAAAATGCGTAAACATCTAGAAATAATAAGAAAAAATAGCAAATTGGTCGAAGGAATTTACCCTTATCATTTACTCTGATAAATGTTTAAATAAACTTTTCAAATTTCAATCCTTCATATTTTCTCAATTACTCGACCGATTTTCGAAAACGAAGCCGGAAAGTATAGACAATAGAAAGGCCTTTTCATTGCGGTACCACTTGACCCCCCTTAAGGGCTTAAAGGGTTGAAGATTTTGCAATCATTTTTGGGGCAAAAGTTGTCCCCCTCACAAATAAAATTGACGTGTTTTTGAATTTTCTGAAAAAAAAATTACCCTGGTCGTTATGCCTTGCGGAACGTTTTCGATGGGCCACCCTATATATTATATACACATATAGTAGGTACATATAGTAGGTACTTTTCTATAGTAAAGAATCTCGGATTTTTTTATATATTAAAATTACGTGGAATGTGGATTCTTGGATAGATACAAAATCAAATTTTGAACAACTTTCTTTTTGATACATTGCAATATTTTGTCATCTTTTCATATTTTGATTATTTTTTTGTCAATGGGCAACCATGGGGCAACCTGGGGCAACCTAATAAAACTTATGTTCTCGTTCGTTGCATTTGTTGCAATATATAAATTATTTAATATAAGCTTACCTTAACTTCAAATTTATAAACTAGAAACTTAAATTTTATAAACTAAAGAAATTACTTGGTTCTGTCATATTCTATCTAAATGTATCATATCTTTTAATTAGAAAATACATGTCATAGGTTATCGACCAGTTAAATTTTAGATACAGTTAACTCTCAGTTAAAATACTAATAAATAATAAGTACATTAATACCAGCACAGAGATTTGCTCAGAAAAAAAGAAAAACATACGACGGGAAGCATTGAAAGAATAATACCCTTATACATTCAAAAATTCAATACAGTTCAATTTTTAATTATAATTATAAGTTTAATTTCGGCCTTTAACTTTTAACAATTTAGACATTTTTATGGTATTTAATTTCCATAAAACACAATAGAAATTTTGTTCAAAGGAAATTTGCTCTTAAATTGACTCGTTTATTAGTATTAATTTATTAATCAATATACCGGGTGCGTCTCAAAAGTGGCTCATCCGTATACCTTTTTTGTTTTTTCAGATAAAAAAACGAGATTTGGTATGTTAGTGTACACATAAATTAGGATTGATTGACGTATTCAATTGTTTTTACTCACTTCCTGTTTCACCGTAAATGGCTACAACTTTTGATTTCTAAACGGCACCCTCCGTATTTTTTTACTTTATTCGATAGAAAATGGTATTCTGAATACAATGACATATTATATGTCAACTTTTGACATTCTCGCTTAATAAAAAATCGTATTATAAAATTCAATCTAATTCTAATTCTTAATCAAGGAGCCTTGGAAAAATATATTTGATCGTCTAATGTTTTAAGTGTCTTGTCCTGGCGAGTTAGAAAATGCTCAAATCGTATTTTTAATCATATCTCAATTTTTTCAAATGAAACGAGGGTGGCTCATTAGCATATTTGGAAAAAGCATTTTTTACGAATAATATGATACCACACACTTATCTATCGTATCTCGAGTCAACTTTTCCTTACGAACCGCAAGTTATAATTTCAAATAAACCATATGCAAAAATGTCAAAAGTTGACACGTGATATGTTATTCTATTCAGAGTGTTATTTTCTATTGAATAAAGTAAAAAAATACTGAGAGTGCCATTTAAAAATCAAAAGTTGTAGTCATTTCCGGTGAAACAGGAAGTGACTATAACAACTCGTTTTTTTAACTGAAATAAATAAAATAGTTATAGGGGTGAGCCACTTTTGAGACGCACTCGGTAGTGTATATTTTTATCTATTTGAATATAAAAATGGATCTCTATAATTGTTAGACTATGGATACACTCAACAAATTATACTAGAATAATAAAAATACTGGTTTCTGATAATATTAGTTTTATTAAAAGTCAATATTTTAATCTAATGTTATATTTCTAACAAATTTATATATGAGGTCATAGGTCCATTTAGGCTGGTACATTGGAACCATATGACCAGCATCTCGTACGAGTACTTCAGTAAGATTTCCTCCCGCTTTCCAGTAACCGGCGATTTCATTGTCCACGTTCCAGATTTTTCTGGTGGCCGTTTTGTACTCGCTGCTCCCGTTGAAGGTCAGCCTTTTAATGAAGTTTACCATTAACGGATAAGGGTCCAACGTGTCCACCTGTCCGTTGTAAAATAGGATTCTGTAATTACCAAGGAGCTCTTCGATCCAAGTCGCGACACTTTTAGTTTTATCTGCGTGAAGACGAGTAACCACATCATCTTCTTGAACTCCGTAATTAACATTACCAATATGAATCTCCTGCCGGATACTGTCTAGAGTAAGATATTCCGACCAGAAATCAGGTTCTTCTGCTTGGAGGTCTTGATGGTTATAAATATTGGGCAGCCTGTTACTTGTATGAATTTTACTACGAATTTTTGTTAGGAGATCGGTGGCATGTGAATAATCTCCACTTTGAATAGCAGAAACAAACAATGCGTGTTCCGATTTGAGGGAAGCTGCTAGGTTAGAATCAATAAGTCCGTTATAATACATGTACGAACTATAATCGGCTTGGTTGATTGGGTCACTTAAAGGATTGGCAATGGCGAATCCTTTCAAATTTATTTTAAGGCTAGCGTTTTGATTTTTCTGATTGATTGTGTACGAAATTGCCGGAATATATTTCCCCCCGTATGATTCCCCGGTTACATAAAACTCGTTATCTTGTAAATTAGGAAATAGTGTGTAAAACTGTATTAAAGCGTTATACAAATCTTCTCCGACTTTCGTCTGATTTTCGGCAAATCCACCCGTGGTAAAACTAAAGCCTGTGCCAACCGGATTATCAATATAAATTACCGAATGATTTTTGGTCCACGTTTCGTTTCTATAGCTCAATTCTAGATTTTTATCCACTATATAAGGTCCATTCTCTTTAAATAAAGCATAGATACTAGAAGCACCAGGTCCTCCTTGTAGCCACAATATTATTGGATCATTGTCTGGGTCATTTTGCGACAAGAAGAACCAAAAGAATATGTTCGAATTAAAAGTTTTGTCTACAGTAAAATAACCTGAATAACTTGTAAGTCCATTGCGTGTAAAATTTTCGAAGGTAACAGCAGATTTTTCCAGAGCCTCTGATATTTTACCTTGTTCGATATAAGGGGTGAGTATGAGGGGATCTCCGACATCACTAACTCCCACTTGTTCCTTTAAGCTATAAGCTTCAGATAGCTGGAAACTGATGGTAGTGATAAGTACAAATATTATTCCTTTGTTAAACACTGCAAATAGTAAAATTATATAATTATAGGTAGACTGTTAATTAGTAGATTTAAGATTACTTACTTTTAAATGTCATTCCCTAAAACATCAAGTAAATATTCTGAAGAGCGAATTAAACTAATTGAAAATAATACTTGTTAAGAATAGAGATTGATTTATGTATGTGGAAAGACAATTGTAAAGGTTGTTATCAAAAAGATAATTTTTTTTCAACTGTGAATATAGTCAGTAAGTGGTTGGTAAAGTATTGATTTATATTAATCAGAAAGCGGTTGTTTGTTTAAGAAAATATGCTTGTTATTTTTTATCAATAATTATTAAGTGTCAGTTTTAATATGACATAATAAAAACTTCATATATTAGTTTTGTTCTTATAGAAAAAATATGCTTCAAATGGGGTTTTCGTAATTTTATTGCTTTGTCAATAATCTATAATTTTATGGATATTGACAAAACAATAAAATTAGAAAAAGCCTCGAAAATGATTATTGATGAGAAAAGAAAAATAACATCTGTTATATAGGTTTTTAAAAACTTTAATATTCTAAATTCACCACTATACAGGGTGTCCCAATATTCCGTGGTCAAAGAACGAGTACATATTTTTGGGATCAAAATAAAAATTGTGTGTGCACTATGTGTTGGTATGGGTTCTTACTTTTGTCTATCTGCCTGTCTGAGGACTCCATTCAGGTATCTGGTATCTCTATCCACGTGTCGAGTTTGGTTCCGATCTTAATTATTAAGAAAAATCCTGATGATTTCGACCATTTAGAGGCATCGGTTCGAAACGTCGAGAGCGTCATTCTGTAGCCCGTCCCTAATTATGTCAATCGACCCACATTTTTCTTTAATATCAAATCGTTAGTCCCACCCTGATTAATGTTAAAGTACTTAGCAAAACATAGGCACCCCAAATCTTAAGGCTCATTACGAGGAAGGATTACATTTTACATATTAAGGATTGCATTTACACATTATATTTACATATTAAGGATTACATTTATCACTTTGGATGTTCACCTTGAAGGAATCATCCAAAGTGATAAGTGTCTCAAGGCTCATTTACATTTGTCACTTTGGATGTACAACTTGGATGAATCATCCAAAGTGATAAGTATAAATTGCCTTTCATCACTGTTTCATCCAAAGTGTAGATACACTAAAAATAAACGAAGAAATAAGTTGACGGTCTTCCTACTTTTGTTGAAGGAGCGTTCAACAAACCGTTGATTCATCCAGATTGAACGGCAAGTAAAAAATGTAAACAGCCGACGCCGACTCGTGCGGCCAACCTCGAACACTGGGAGAAGTGGCAGCCTGCGGAAGATGAAACAGTGAACCGCTGCGAACTGGATGAAAATATGTAAATAAGGATGTTCAATTTGGAGGAATTCAATCTGAGTGATTCATTTTGGTTGTACATCCAAAGTGACACAGTGTAAACTCTGCTTAAGGTGAAAGAGTGAACTAAAAAGGAGCAATGAAACAATTCGACCCCCAACCAACTTTTGATGAAAGAGTTGTTCCTCGAACCGATGATTCATCCAGAGTGAAGGCTCAGTTTATATTTCATACAATGTCGTTCAAGTGGCAAGATAAGCACATGGAACTTTTTCTTGAAACATACCAGCAGTACGAATGCTTGCGGAATAATAAATGCAAAGATTAAAGCAAAGTAAATCTACTTCTAATCTACTGCGTTTGGTGAAACGTTGGTGAAAGTACCGAACTGGATGAAAATATGTAAATAATAAGGATGATCACCTTGAATGATTTCACTCTGGATGATTTACTATGGATGTACATCGAAAGTGATACAGTGTAAATCCCGCTTTATTTAAGTCTTTTCATTAGTCCGAAAAAGTAGCAAAAGAAGCGTTCGGCATTTAACGTTTTATGTAAAACTGGCTAGGTGTTTTTACACAAATGAAGAAGGAAATTAAAGATAAAGGATTATACTATATCCGTATTGTAGCACATTTTTAGACAACTTTTTTATTTTTAAGATTTTGATGGTCAAACATTAACAAAATATTTCTTATGTTTGGACTAAATTTCATCGAAAATAAAGACATAATTTAAAATTCCAACGGATTACAATACGGAAATAAACTGAAGTTTTGTGATTACAGTGATATATAACATATTATATGGTTTTGTAACAAATTGCTCGCTATTTTATGGCAAATGCTGAAGCTCTGCAAACCTTAATTAAGCCTTAATCAAAGTACGTGTGTTTGGAATTTGGGGTGTGGCTTAACACGACAGGATCGGGCTAAACCTTAGGTAGATTTCTTAATAGAAGTAGTTTCGAAAAATATAATAATATACCATTTGTGTTCCATTTAAAACAACAAGATGTCATAATAAACGTCATAAATGTAACATGGCTGTGAATCACCCTGTATAGTTCATCTTTACTTAAAACTTAAAGAGGATTAACATGCAGAAAGAGTGGGAAGAAGCAGCTCACAATAGAACTCATTGGAGGGAATTGTAGACTCAGTTAACAGGGACAACCAAAAAGTAAAGAGGCAACAAAGCAATGAGATTTTTGAATGTCCGGAGTACGGTAGGCAGATAACATAACATATCGAACTTTTCAGTCACAGAAAAGCTCATGAAAGAAAACGCCTTGCGTGACCATCTTCTGATGCGTGTCAGATACTCGTCAGCGAGTAATGGTAATATGTATGTATGCATACGTATAGTTCATCAAAACTCATATTTGATTAAAAACAATTGAATATTACTTCTAGTTGCTGGTATAAACCTTATAAACGGATGTCACCCAAGCCAAGAGTTTTAAATGGCACCTTCTACGTTTTTTGAATATTTATTTAGTGCATAAATTACATTTTATTATAAAAATATATAAGGATTCTTGCCACTTAACTGCTGATATAGAAATTTAGTTCTACGCTGTGTTTGTCATAATGTGGATCAACCTGCTTTCACTACCGGTTTCGGAGCCCTACTCCATCATCAGGTGAGCTTGGGCAGATCCACAAAACTTTCTATTTTATTATATTTTATTTTGATATAATTTTTCAAAATGGCGTTGAATAATATGAAAATGACATCTCAATCAATCTACTGAAATATTAGTTAATATAAATATAATTTAGTTATAAATAAGTCGCTATAAATAAAAGCATTTAGAGTTCAAGTTTAACATTTTAAAATTAAGTAAAATTATCAGAATTCGTCAGAATAAAAAGTGGGCTCAAAAATACTAGAAACTACATACAATATGTCCCCGGATTGTCTTTACAAGAGGAAAAACCCTTTTATTATTGACATTTTAATTTTGATTAATGTCATATTTTTGCTGTTGTTAAAGTGATATGGTAATGAACCACACCTTCGTTCATAATAATTAAAAATACCATTTGAGCATTTTGTCACTGGCCAGGACAAGACACTAAAAATATTAGACGATCAAATTTATTTTTCCAAGGCTGCTTGATTAAGAATTGGTATTTTTAACATATAGTCATGGCACTCTAGATTGAATTTTAAAATACGACTTTTTATTAAGCGACAATGTCCAAAGTTGACATATGATGTGTCATTCTATTCAGAATATCATTTTCTATCGAATAAAGTAAAATAATACCGAGGGTGCCATTTAAAAATCAAAAGTTGTAGTCATTTCCGGTGAAACAGGAAGTGACCAAAAACAATTGAATACCTCAATCAATCCTAATTTATGTCATATACTAACATATCAAATATCGTTTTTTTATCTGAAAAAATAAAGTAAAATAAACAGCCACTTTTGAGACGCACTCGGTATATTGGTTTTCATAACCAGATTACAGTTGACGGTTGGAATCTTTGGTGCTACAACAGCAAAATAAAACACTAATTCACCACAATACACCAAAACACTTTATTTTTGCACTGGACGCGCGTTTCGCTAACCATGTTAACATCATCAGCAGATAATTAAAACTCCGAAGTTTTAATTATGAAGAAAATACATTATAAATAAAGTGTTATGGTGTATTGAGGTTATTATTGGTGTACTAGTGTTTTAGTTTGATGATTATAACCTAACCCAAACCAATCATTCGGTGGCATTGAGTAAACGGAGAGTATAACGGCAATCATCCGTTATACTCTTCCCGGCAATATTTTCAAGATCTACGAAGCTGTAGCCTCCAATGAAACGATTCTGGATCACAAACAAAACCGGACAGTGGCATATGATATGTAGAACCGTTTCTTCTTTTTTCGGGCCCTTGAAGGAGGATGCACACATGCCAGTGTTCCCCAATTGTCGCCGTTAGCGCAACTTAATTGTGAGCTCTTCCAAGCGATTTCCTAATGTCCTATTTAGGTTAAGTTTTCCTGGCTATTCTGCGGGCGCTTAAGGTTTTCTATCTATTGTTCACCATAGACAAAAAATGAAAGTAAATGTCTTTTTTTTCAAACGTCACAATAGTATTAATTTTTGCGACATGATTGACAATGTAAAAAACTCGTCTAGGCATAAAAGTACGAAAATATATTATTAAACTGACATAAAGTGTCAAATTCAACGAGAGTAACCATAGTTTCTCGATATATAATCACATACAAGGTATGACTTTTAAATATTTTTATATTACATATTTGGAACTTTTGAAATTGTTCAAAAACTTGACGTTTTAAAAAATAGCATGTTCTATTCGGAGTAAAAATGACTTTTTGTGCCTCGACTGTCAAACGTACAGCTTCGCCACGAAAGGTGTCATTTTTACTCCTAATAAAACAATATACTATTTTTATGGTATTGACGGAAGTAAAATTTTCTTCTGATGTACGCGAGGCACGATCCTCGCCTTGCAAGTTCATCAGCGTGTTCGTTCCCCTCGATGTTTTTCTAGCCTGAAATCCAAAGCAAAGCTATATCGTATTAACTTCCTACGTAGGCGTAGGTTAACTTTCGACTATTTTGGAGGATATGGTATGGTAGATAAGTTCAGCGTCGACATGGTGGTCAGTGGTCAGTTATTACTGCAGTTTTTCGTCCGGAAAGAGTCTCCTCACTCAACCATTCGCAGGCCTTCCAAAATAGCAAGTATCTCTGGCTGGAAAACACTGTAGTTCAGTCATTGGGGATCAAAAAAGGGGCCTGCTTGGAAAAAAGTCCTGAAGTTGTGAAACTTTGCAGGTTTATAGGTTTTGGGGTCTCTAACTAAAATCCATAAAATGCACATTACCAGACTTGACGCCGGCGGTGGCGCCGCCATCTTGCCAAGATGGCGCCCAAAATCGGTATTTTGTAAATATCTCGAAAACTATGCGTTTTTCGCAAAAATTTGAAGAGAGCAAAATTAAAGAGAATAAAAGGTTATATGAAAATTTTAAAAAGTCAACCGTTTAGGCACAAAATCCCTGGAATTTTTACAATTTTGCGTAAAGTATGATATACATAATATAGTCGATTTTCCGAAATCAAATGTCGATTAGTGTTCACTAAAACTAGTTTTAGTTTAGTTTCTTCAATTTTGTCATGAAACAGTGGCGTATCATTAATTCGCTCATTAATTTATTAATAATTAATTTTCGTGCTGGACAGCATTCATTGCAAACTTACCACCAGGTTCAGCATTGGTTTCATGGTCTGGTTGTACCAAAGATGCCAAAGAATGGGGTTGGATGAAAACAATAACAGGCATTACTCTAGTCACAAAGTCGAAAGATCCAGCTCCAAAATCCCTATTGGCATTTTTATCCTGTAAATGCAAAACCAACAACTATGGTAAAGCCTGCGGATGCAGAAAAGCAGGATTAAAATGTTCAATGATTTGTGCATACTGTAATGGGAAATTCTGTGACAGTGTCACTGAAGTGTCACTCGACGAATCCGATGAAGAGGAGTTGGACTTGCCTGTAGATATCCCTCTGGCGGCTGAAGATGAAGAGTTGGACGTATTGAGAGATCACCCTGATGAGCCCAGCACAGCAGACACGATCGACTTTGACATCAATAAGCCAGATCCGTCGGGCTTGTGCAGATAAGTTAAAGTTTTTAACTTATCTAGTGGAGTAGGCCTCCGGGGAGACCACGTTAAAATAAACGCGCCATGTACTTTACCTCTTGGGTGGAGTTTTAAGTACACATTTTCAATAATTAAAATTAATTATTCATAAATTAATGAGCGAATTAATGATACGCCACTGTTTTATGACAAAATTGAAGAAACTAAACTAAAACTAGTTTTAGTGAACCCGACATTTGATTTCGGAAAATGGACTATACATAATATATCATATTTTACGCAAAATTGTAAAATTTCCAGAGATTTTGTGCCTAAACGGTTGACTTTAGCAAAAATTTTCATAAAAACTTTTTTTATAGGAAATTTTATTCTCTTTAATTTTGCTCTCCTCAAATTTTCGCGAAAAACGCATAGTTTTCGAGATATTCACAAAATACCGATTTTGGGCGCCATCTTGGCAAGGTGGCGGCGCCGGCGGCAAGTCTGGAAATGTGCATTTTATGGATTTTAGTTAGGGCCCCAAAACCTATAAACCTGCAAAGTTGCAAAACTTCCGGACTTTTTTCCAAGCAAAAATCCCCAATGACTGAACTACTGGGTTACTGGATTATTTACTTCATTTTGTAATTTATTTTTCGTGAACTCGTAAATTATAATTGATAAACATAGAATAAAAGGTATTTTAATATTAACTTAATTTATTTGATTGCAATTGATACATTTGTCTCGTATAAAATTTAAACTTAATTTAATAATAGATACAAATACAAACTTACAACAATTAGTGGAAAGGTTTATTCCTAGTAAATCTCGTGATCATATCAAAAGCCCATTGAGGCTGGTCAGCAGGTACCATATGCCCCGCAGCTCTTACTAATATTTCTGTTAAATTACCTGCCTGCTTTACGTAACCAGCTATTTCTTGATCAACAGTCCATTGGTACCTAGATGCTGTTTGATATTCCTTAGCAGCATTAAAATCAAGATTATTAAGAAAATTCAAAGTGAGCGGATATGCCACTATAATATCCAACTGTCCGTTGTAAAATAGAATTCTGTAGTTGTTTAGTAGTTCAGATATCCACGGAGCCACACTTTGCATGAGATCAGGCAAAAGGTTTTTCTCCACATTGTCGTCGTCGTGGAAAATAGCATTTCCCACATGGATAGCGGCTCTGACATCATCCCTCTGAATGTATGTTCCCGTAAGATTCCTACCGCTTTCTAAAGGATCGATGGGGTACAAATAGTTAAAGTAATTGTTGAATCCCGTAGCGTTCTTGAATAGGGTGGTATTCGAAAAATCTCCGTCCATAAGGGTATCAAAGAAACGTGCCGCTTCCTCGTACTGTTTATTTTGGATAAGTTTAATCCCTTGCTGTTCTAACGTTTTTACTTGGTCTCTAGTGATATCGTCGTATAGACCGAGTTGGTACAGATATTCTCCGTATTCTAATTGATTTATGGGATCGCAAAATCCGTTCCCTATCGCTAAACCTTTAAGATTGATTTTTAACTTAGCGTTCGGATTATTTTTGTATATAGTATATGCAACTGCTGGTATGTACTTTCCCGCATAAGACTCGCCTGTGATATAAAAATCGTTAGGTTGAACTTCAGTAAAAACTGTGAAGAATTGTTGCAGAGCGCTGTATATATCTTCTCCGACTTTTGTCTGATTTTGAGCATATCCACCTAAATATAAGATTAAGGTTAAAAAAATATTAATTTAGTTCATTCTTCATATTTTAATAAAGAACCAGCTAAAATTTAATTTTTCTTTTTATTTCTATCTACGTTGAATATCGTCCCTGAAACAAGTCAACAATATACCCTTAAAAAATTAAACATCTATTTTATGTAGAAATGCACTAGATTCAGAATTATTTTTTTAAAATTAATGTTTAATAATTTTGTCTGAATGATACGCAACCTAATGGCCGAATATTGAAAATTTATTCGTGTTAAATATATAATAAACAAAAAAAAATTCTTTTATAGGTAGTGAGTATTTCGTATGATCGAAAAAAGTCGTTTAGTTGAAATGACGATTATTGACATTTACCATAATATTTTACGTATGAAATAACAGCGATCTTTATTTCCAAGCTAACTCTGACGCCGTTCCTTGTTTAATCATATAATAATATATTATATTCTCTAATGATAGAAAATACGCATTATTGATGTACTGCACCCAAAATCCGTAAATCTACGGATTAATCTGTAGTTCTGGTAACACTTTGTCCACTGAAAGCAAAACTACGGTACAATATTCTTATCCGCTGCGCTGTAAACGAAGATCAGCGCGCAGCGGCGCAGACCTAAACTAAATCTCGCTAACGGTAACGCCAGTTACATCTCGGAAAGGTTTTGTGTCACGAAATCCTATAAGGTTGCGCATCCTTTTATTTCTTCAATAAACCCTATTATGCAAACGACAGCGGATAAAAAATATCAGCGCGCAGCGGCGCAGAGCTAAACTAAATCTCAGACACGTTGACGGTAACGCTAGCTACATCTCGGACAGGTTTTGTGCCACGAAATCGCCCATAAGGTTGCGCATATTAACGGTTATATCAAAGTTTACAGTATATATACCAGTTGACTTACTCTCCGGGATTCTATCATTATTTCGACATCAAATGCGGGCGCGTTTAGCGGCAGGGGCGGATACAGGAATTTATTTTAGGGGGGGGGCAACTAAAAGTAATGTAGAATATTATGTTTTTTAGAGCGCGATTTTTAACCCAAAAGACTAATATTTAACCCAATTTATAGATTTGGGGGAGGGGGGGGGCTTGGCCCCATGGGCCCCCCTCTGTGTCCGCCACTGTTACCGGTGTAACGGAAATGCTATTTTATCAGTCAGAACGCTGGCCGTATACCACGGATAAATTTTAGGTGTAATGCAATTAAAAAACCGGAATATTATGGCAAAATTTCATGCATTTAAATGTGCATATTATTGCCTTTTCTAGTTGATAACCTGAATGATGGAATAGGTATATCATATGAATGTATACGGCTTCTCGAAGAATTTGCAAAACTATCTTCATCAAAATGGAAACCGCAAATTCTAATATCTGTGGGATTCTATAAATTCTAAGGCACTTTTCCAGGCTCCACACCCTAGTTTAGGAAGTTATTTTCCTTATCAGACTCTACTTACATATTTTATATCAATTAAACTTTTAGTTACGTAATCGTGGGCGCGATTTTTAAAATCATTGTTGCCAACCATGGAACTGTTCGGCGCCGGCGTGCTGACTAAATGGAATTTAAATTTCGCGCTTGGGTTTCAGGTGTTAGCTCTGCTGTAAAAAAGAGTCAAATTGCCGCATTTATTTATTTATTTTCTAACATTGTCATTCGTTTTGACACTTTAGTTTTGTATTACGAGTTTTTGATTTAAATAAATAATGTTGTGATACTTTAAGCTTAAATATTTACTAGCAGACCTTGCAGTTGAACATTGTTCTTTTTAGAACCTCTTTTAGTGGGAAGTGTTCAAGATAGCTTAATAGCCGTAAAAAACTCATAGCAACTTTATTAAAATATTTTAAACGGCAAAACGGTAGTAATGGGCCTTTATGTCTCTAAAAGTAGTGTAAGAGTAAGTGTAAGAGTTTGTAAACGTTGTAAGAGCTGTAAACTGTCGCTTACAGCGCAGCGGATAAAGAATATGTACCGTAGTTCTGCTTTCAGTCGTCAGAGTGAGTGGTTGCCGGAGACAGTGGTGCCAGAACTACTGATTAATTCATAGATTTACGGATTTTGGATACAGTAGATGATATCATTAAACATTATTATATAAGTATTTAATACAATATTATATGCTTAAACAAAGAATGGCGTCAGAGATGGCTTCGAAATGAAGATCGCTGTTATATCATATGTAAAATATTATGGTAAATGTCAATAATAGTCATTTCCAAGCCAACTAAACGACTCTTTTCGATCATACGTCATATTCAGTACCTATAAAAGAATTTTTATTTTTTATTAGTGTTGTTTATTCTATGTTCAACACAAATAAATATTCAATACATAATGCGGATTTGACCAAAGATATTTTCGTCAAACGTATTACAGATATTACAAATTTTAGTATGGCAACGCACAGAGTTTCAGCCATATTGCAAAAAATTGCAATTCTGTTGGCTGAAATTGTTGAATTGATGAATTGTCGAAAAATTTCAGCCATTAGAATTGCTGCAAATCGATTCTAGGCCGTTACGCCGATACGCCGCGCCGTTCCGCTTTTTCTAGGATGGTGTGGATGCACCCATACACCCTCAAGGACTGTAATTTCCTAGGGATGTATCTTAGGGCATTTGCTCATAGGAACTTTATGTATTAGTATCTAGTAAAGTTTAATACACTATTTTATTTACATATTGTATACGATAGATATTATATTTTAATTTACCTTCTGTGAAACTGTAACCTGAACCCACCGGATTATCAATGTAAATGACAGAATGCGTTTTGGTCCATGAGTAGTTTCTTTCATTCAAGCCATGTTCAAATCTTACCGAAAATGGACCATTCTCGATGAAAAGACCTGTAAGTAAATACTATCATTGGTATATTTTTATAAATTAACATAATTCATTTCTCTCTACCTATAGTTTTGGTGCATTTCAGTTGATTTTAAAAATTTCGACCGCAGCGCTCGATACGACAGAAATCAGAAGTTTTCGCTCTGTATTTCACGCAGTTCGAATGTTGATCGCATTGTAATAATATAAAAATCGTGGCTTTGTCATAATATTTAAGTAGTTTAGATTTTAATAGTGCAGTTATTGAGACTATAAAACACTGAGGTACGAGGTTCATGTCCTGTAATGCTGATTCATGTAATGCATGTCGCTTTGTGTTGTGACAATTTCAAATGTTAATACAATTGTCGAAAAAATGATAACACGTAAAGGAGGGCGTAATTGTTGGCTGCATTAACATTCAATAACTCAACTTTACCGGATACTCAACTCTCCCGAAACAACATTTTATAGCTTCACAACTTCTCACACCGATTTGATCAAAAACAAAAATGGATTCAAACAGCTCGACCAAACAGGCGAGTAAACAAAGTGCCCATTACATAATTAATAGTTATTTTTTAGAATTTTCACAAATTATATTGCCTGACATTTTTAGAATAATTATATAATAGATTTTTCGTACACTATAGCTATTTAAATCCGTGTATATTTGTATATGCCGGTTGTTTACGATATTCTCTGATAGTGGCAGCACCGGCGAATGGAAATGGTTGAACGGTTGAACAAGCTGAAAATGATGACGGTGATGATGATGAAATGCTGAAGCCTCGTCTACACTAACGTTTTACCTGTCGGTTCTGTTATATCATGTTATGGTTTAAATTTCACTTGTATATATGCAAAGGTAATTGGGAGAATAATATCCTTTGGTAACAATCATTTAATATTTCTAAACAATTTTGTAAAATTACATTATTTTATGAAAGTATGCAGAAATAATACATTTTTAAAACTGCTTGTATGCCGTAATATGCGCATTATTTTTTGTTAATTTACTTTGTTGTATTATTTGTTTTTTAGTAAAAATACCGCTGACAAATTGGGGTCCGTTGGATTAACGCAGCGGCGCACATACGGGTATTTTGATTATTTAGGCGACCAAAAGTATATTTAGTTTAAGCACAAACAAAAAAGTGGTTTCATGCGATTTTTTTGTGTTGTTTTGGTTTTTGTAGTACACTATAGCAAGGATACAATTTTTTATTTGTGTTTCTAATAATTTCGTATTGCCGCCTAGTCAGATCAGCCTCAACAAATATTGAAAGTGCGCAAATAGGTGCCAGTTTATTGTCTTTTTCATCCTGTAGAGTTTTAGTGTATGCAGTTTTATATTTTTTTGCACAATTGGGTGAAATGACCATCTCTTTAAGCATCTGTGAAGCACTTCTTTTTCCCGAGGTTTGAAGTGTTATTCGTGCTGCCTGAAGCAATTTCCTTACTTGTTGTACTTCGTAGTTCTTCAGTTCGTCTTCGTTGACTTCTTTCGCTTAATTCAGCAAATTCCTTTGGTGAACGCCCTGAACGGTGCTACCAAAGGTTGTTCAAACGTTCCTTCTAACCAGGTATAGTTTTTTTTAAGGAAGTTATCAAGATTTCGTTGGGCATTAGACCATCTTTGCTTAAATTGTGACTTGATGTACGAGAATCTGTGCTTTAAATCTTTTATTTGATCTTCAGAATAATTTTGGTATGCCAAAATATTATTTTCAAGATACTCTAATTTATCGTCAAAAGTAGGCAAATCTTGTTCTTGCATTTTATCAAACAAGTACCTCCGACTTACTACTCGAGCATTTGACGACCCTGAAACAAAGTTAGACACTCTTCGAATCGAAATTGTTCTAGAATTACTAATTTTGCATTAAACTAGTGATAATCATTTTCTATATACTCTCAAGTTGACACTGAACTTTATTAAATATGTGGGACGAACCCTGAAGTATAACAAAAACCTTTAGCTATGTGAAAGAATTATTTAAAATGAAAGCAAAACTAATGCAATGATTTTGCACACTGCTAAAGGTGTTTAAGAATACTTAAAAACTTTTAAATATTAAATATGCAACCACTTACCAGCAATATCAGGATCCATTATTTAGTTTTTCATATATACCTTGGATAATTAATGTACACACTGTTCAAACTAAACGTTGACATGTAAAAGAGGATCAAACGTGACTTGATATTACTGATCCATTATCATGTTGGCCGTTGAATACAGGGTTACCTATTATTCTGCCGCTATTCAACTTCCGCCAGGTCTATTCTATTTCCATCTGCAATGAGTTCTACGAAATTGACTTTTGGCCGCTTAAATAATCAAAATACCCGTATGTGCGGCGTTTACAAAAATTACGGGGACAAAAATAAAAGAGATTAATCCGCCAAAGAGGTACCTATGGACATTTTTTATCATAATTTGTTTATCTGTCACCATACAAATCTCGATAAGTCATAAAACTTTATGATCATATCGTGGCACTTACCCAATAAACTTGATGCGCCAGGTCCGCCTTGAAGCCACAAGAGAAGCGGCGCGTTTTTATCATCTGTTTCGCAAGGAAAATACCAGAAAAACAAATTGGAGTTAAAGGTCTTATCGACGGTAAAATACCCTAAAAAATTAATTTAATAATTATTTGTTAAAGTTAAACATACCAGAGGTACCAGCGAAACTCCTTTTATTCAGAAATCCACTGAAGTATACCTCAGCGGCCATCTTGGCGTCATCAATTTTTCCAGCTTCTATTAAAGGCGTTAAAAACAGTGGAACGCCAGGATCGTCTCCAACTTCGAAAGGAATCTGTTTAATTCTTGGGTAAAGTTTTGATAGGAAAGTTGCGGTGGTACCGTGTAACAGATTGTCAATAACTAGCAATAACACGTACAGTCCTAACTGAGACATGATGGAAACTGAAAAATAAATTAACGTAAAAATTAATTGTAATGAAGTAATAATGCAAGGAAAATACCAGAAAAAAAATTGGAGTTAAAGGATTACTATAATTATGATTTTTCTTGATTTTTATTCATGAGGTAACTGAATATGAAGAAGCCCGCCAAAATAAAATATAGCTAGTAAAGTGTGGTAAAGAGTATACAGTGTTGGCAATAGTGCGTCGGGCATTTGTAACTCCTAGAAAAAAAAAACTTGGAAGTTTGTTTAAGTGCAGACCTAAAGTATATACTAGGATGTATTTCAGGATAATCTTTTAACTTCTACAGAGTGGCTCAAAAAAGTGTGACCGGATTGGGATGATTTTTTTAAAATGGAACACCCTGTATGTTATTACATTTTTGGCTTCCTTTCAGATCACTTTACATTATCCTAGATATGAGTAAATACATTTCGTTAGTTTCACAGATATTAATAAATAAATAGAAAATATATATTTTTTAGCCTTTCTTAAAAAATTATTGAAAATAGAAGAACTGTCCCTAAATAGCAAACTATATTAGGTATTTACTATAGATAGTTTGTACTTACTTTGCTATAAATATTGTAATCTTAAATCACACAGGATGTTCAAAATACTAGACTGTTTTTATTTTTAATATATTTTTTAGAAAGTCTGAAAAATATATTTTTTATTTATTTATTAATATCTCTGAAACTATCGAAATATATTTACTCATATCCTAGGGTTATGTATAGTGATCAGAAAGGAAGCCAAAAATGCAATAATATACAGGGTGTTACGTTTAAAAAAAATTACTTTTTTGAGCCACCCTGTAGAAGTTAAAATATTTTCCTGAAATATATCCTAGTACATACTTTAGGTTTGCACTTAAACAAAATTCCCAAGTTTTTTTATTCTAGGAGCTAGAGATGCCTGACGCACTATTACCTACTGGGTCCTGTAGGTACTATATAGCTTGTTTTGAGTAATTGACGAGTAAGCCTAAGCAATAGTATAAGTTTTCATACACAAAAATACAACTTTTGGTATTTGTATATTTTTTCATTTGTGTTAAAAATAAATCACTTTTATTTTTTTAAAATTACATTTTAGAAGTTAAAATCATGTCTACATTACTTCACCGATGTTTGTAGAAAAGTATATTAAGTGTAGGTTTATATTTATGCTATATCTGTCATGCGTCATTCCATCACATTTCACATTAATCACGTTTAAGTATGATCTGTCATTTTCGAAATTGCAAAAAAAAACGACGGAAGACGCAAAAACGTGCCCATTGAGTGGAATCATAGTTTTGTATCTGTTTTTTCTAGAAATAAAAATTAATATTTAATTTTTAAAGAGAAAAACACAAAAACAATTCGAGCAAGGCGGGTTTTGTTGCAGCATGATGTATATTCCAAGTTTTGCTACAGCAAGATAGTTGTATCCTAACTTGGAATTATTAAGTAAGCTATTTTATTAAAATTAGGTATAAGTATTTGAAATGGATAAGACGTCAGTAGTAATATTATGATTATGTAAAATGTCTATAAAATAATGCGGAATTTGCAACAATAGAGAGCAAATATAAGTGGACAAGACGAATTTCTCTACAATAACGTAATTTGTAGTGAATTTTATATAGGAATACGCGAATGCAGCGACTTTTGGTGCCGTTTGGGACTATGTTTAAGTAGATTTTAGGGTCCACTATTAATATATGTTATTAGGTCATTTTTAATGTTTTACTAGCAAATCTGGCAGTCGAACATTGTTCTTTTTAGAACCTCTTTTAGTGCGAAGTGGGTACAAGATAGCTTAATAGCCGTAAAAATCTTTATTCGAATGTTTTGAACGGGAAAGCGGTAGTAATGGCCTTTTATGTCCCTTAAGTGTTGTTAAGAAGGTGACTTTTGTTGATGTAAATAATAACTGTTTATATATTTATAATTAATTTATTTTTTGTTTCTTAAAGTATTTTGACTAAAAGAAAATATTATGCAAAAGTGGGCAATGTTGTGCCGGTCAAGCTTAATCACGTGACTAAAAGTTTATTTGATATGAACTATATTTTCATGTTGTCCTTAGTTTTAACTAAAACGGCAATGAAATTGGGAAAACGATAGACAGGATTAACCATTTTAGAACGCTAATAACAACACATTACCCAAAAAAGCTTTATTTTTATTTTTTTTTAGAATATAAAACAATTATTTTTATATATTAGAGGCCCAGTCTATTGCTGCTGAATAAAAATCGATAATTTATTATTGAATGAAATTTGGAAAACGATAGACAGGATTAACCATTTTAGAACAAGCAAAACTTATGAAGAGTGCATTCTTCTCAAAATCTCAATAATAAAAAAAAATCCTCTTGTAAAGACAATCCGGGGATATATTGTACATGTTTAACTTTTTACGAAGGAACTCGAGTGTATGACAATAATATTGAGTTAATTTTCAGAAAAAAGTCTAGCTTTGTTTCTCGCTTTTCTATGGAGTGTAGAGATGAGGAGAAATATCTCTAATGGGACTTTATTTGAAAAACTGGTCACAGAAATGGGGGGGTGGGGATAAGGGTTCACCAAATGACCACAGTGGCGCTAATAACAACACATTACCCAAAAAAGCTTTATTTTTATATTTTTTTAGAATATAAAACAATTATTTTTATATATTAGAGGCCCAGTCTATTGCTGCTGAATAAAAATCGATAATTTATTTCATGTGACAGGAAAATAAAATTTTTATTTTTTGAAACCCGCGCCTTCACATCAAATTTTATCTCTTTTGAATCATTTTCTGTTTTAAACATTTTCGGCGCATTTTTAAAATTTAGGTTTTTGCTACAGCAGCGCCATCTTAAATCTTCCCTTTTTTATGACCATTTTTTAATGCACGAAGATGTTTCTCCTTACCTCTACACTCCATACGCTTTTCCAATAATAGCCGAAAGTATATATTGATATGAATACCTAATTTACTTGTGCCTATATATGGATATTGTAACCTCACTTTACAAATCGTAAAACTTGTTAATTAAAATAGCACATTAACACACGAAAAATTTAAAAACACAAGAATTTTATAAGCACATATCTGTAATATCAAGCACGTATATAACGGTATAACGATTAGGTAGGTAGCACTAGGATGAAAACATACACTGGTCACTGATTACATATTTGTAACCAAGATACATCTTTTAATAAAAGAGCTCTCGCGGCTTGACAACGGTCGATAAAACCATTATTCGTTTCTGCCCAAAAGTCCAAAGTCGGCTTTAATTAAGATAACTCAATAATTCAAGAGCAACCACTATTTCATATTGTTATTTACCTTTTAAAAAAGGAATAAGCGAATAAGAATAACTACGAAACAACAATATATCAAACAAAATCACTGTATAACAACACAATATTGTTTTTATTTGTCTTATCGTCTTTGACTTACGTACTAAATATAGAAATAATCTGTAGTTATGCAAAGTGTGAAAAATGTACAGGGTGTCCCACTAAGAATAGCTCTCGGCTGTATCTCGGAAAGTATTGGTCGTAGCAGGGGCGGATACAGGAATTTATTTTAGGGGGGCCGGGATTGATTTTAGGGGGGGTCCAAATAAAAATTAATGTATAGAATATGCTTTTTAGAGCGCCATTTTTAACCCAAAAGCCTAATATTTAACCCAATTTACATATTTTAGGGGCGGCCTTACCCCATAGCCCCCCTCTGTATCCGCCACTGGGTCGTAGGGCCTGCGGAAAAAATATTTATAACCAAAGATACCATGAGAAAATGCTGGAAATTATTCTTAAGTTTGTAGAACTACCGCTAGGTGGTTCAATTGCAATGGAAAATAACAAAATGGAATTTTTAAGAAATTTTGCCTAGATAAGATGTACTATAAATAATAGCTTCATAATCTTCAGTAAATTTTAGATCTTTTTTGTTAGAACCATTTTCCCCTATCTGCTAAAATAAAGTGGTGGGAGAAGGCGAGATATGTTTTTATTTAAATGTTCAATAACTCCGGACTGGATGATCGGAATCCAACAAACGAGATCTCGTTTAGAAGAACGTTTCTTACTCTATATTATACCACATAAACAATAAAAATAATCTTTTGAACGTAGACGCTAGGAGGTGCTGTCTTACAATTTAACAGACATTACGCGTTTTTTCAAAAAAATTAAATGCGATGGTATATGCAATTTTAGCTGATACTAAAGAGTAATAATAAAAATAAGCTTTTGAACGTAGACGCTAGGAGGCGCTGTCTTACAATTTAACAAACATTACGCGTTTTTTTAAAAAAATTAAATGCGATGGTATATGCAATTTTAGCTGATACTAAAGAGTAATAAAAGCTTCAAAAGTCAACTAAAACCGAAAAGTTATTAGTAAAATAATAATAAATAGTAAGATCTGAGTATCGGTATCCGGTACCACAAAGTACCGGTCTTAAAACCGGTATATACCGGTTCCAACAATTATATCGGTGGAACCGATACTAAACAGGTATACCGGCTGGACCGAAAGACCGTTTGGACCGGAAGACCGGATGAATCGGAATATTGGAAAGACCGAAATAACAGTTTTTTTTGGTTGTTGTGCCAGTGCAGTGAGCAGTGAGCATATACAGGGGCGGACACAGGAATTTATTTTAAGGAGGGCCCAAATAAAAAATAATGGAGAATGTGCTTTTTCGAGCGCCATTTTTTTACACAAAACACTAATATTTAACACAATTAATAGATATCATCAGGGGAGCCTTGGCCCCATGAGCCCCCCCTCTGTATTCGCCACTCAGCACATATACCTCATGATACTGTATTAAAAAATGTAAATAGAATGTTCTCGTGACTGTAACGTTAAGTAAATACGGTATTTTGAGGGATAAATTAGATTTCTCGGAATATATCGTAAATCTATCTGTTATATATCGTTATAACCTTATGGATCTAACTTAAGATTCTCATTGTTTATGTTATATACCGGGTGTTTGCATCGTCTAGCGGGACATAGGAAATCCCATATAAATTTTAATGGGGTCAATTATTGGCTTCCCTAATTATTTTAGAGAATAATTCTATATAGGTTTATTGAAGAGCACTAAAACCCACAGTCAAAAGAATAACTTTAGATATTTTTGATTAACCCCTTTACGAATTATCGCCGATTTCTTTTTAAATATTTCTCCTTTCTTATGGCCCTGTATTTACTTATGAGCACCAGTCAAGGTAAAAGATAACTGTCAAATGAAGTTGTCATTTAAAAAAATTATCTATTTAGTGCTTTATTATTATTATTAAAAACTCATACCTACATCGAAAATATTAGCCATGAATTACACTACCGAAGAAAAAGTATTGATGATTAAATGGTATTATCAAGGAAATAGTTATCAAAAGGTGTCGGACATGTTTGCTGCTCTGTATCCGAATAAAACGATACGTGGAAAATCTACAATCGCAAGGAATATCCAGAGATTTGAGACCAAAGGTACCCTAACAAATAAGAAGCAAGAAATGATACCGACTTAGAAGTTTTATTGTGCGTGGAAGAGAACGATGGAAAGATGAGCACAAGGAAACTTGAGGATGAAATAGGAATAGATCACACTAGAGCGTTTCGAATTTTGAAACGACATAAATACTATTCCTTCAAATATGAAAAACACCAAGAGCTACGAGATGGGGACGAAATACGGCGGCAGGCGTTTTGTTTTGATATGATGGAAAGAGCAAACACGGATAGGGAATTTTTAAAAAACATATGTTTCACTGACGAATGCACGTTTACCTTAAATAATGAACCCAATGTTCAAAATTATCGATATTGGAACAAAGAAAACCAACACAGGTTTGTTGAAACAAGGACGCAATATCCACGCTAGGGAAAATCAGGAAGTTTGGTACCAAATTGGTGGCTGCCCGGCACATAGTACCCTGGCTGTTCGGGAATATTTAGACAATAGTTTTAACGGAAACGTTATTGGCCTAAATCATACAGTAAATTGGCCAGCAAGGTCTCCTTATATTTAGCCAAATGATTTCTTTCTCTGGGGTCATTTAAAAAACAGGATATACAAGGATAAAAGATGAGTAAAAAAATGCTATTTCTGCCGAATGCAATAGAATTTCAGTTTACCAACTAGTGAATGTAAGAAGAGAATTTTATGATCGCCTGGGTTATTGTCTAGCAGTCGATGGAGGAATATTTGAACATCTTCTTAAATCCTAAAGTTCTAACAATTTAATAGTACCTAAATTAATAAGTTATTGAATATTGTAATAATACTAAAATTAACCTTGTAATTGATTACTTTATTTTGCTTTAATTCATATTAATTTGTATTTATAAATACATCTTTAAGATTTCCGATGTAGGAATGAGTTTTCAATAATAATAAAGCACTAAATAGGTAAATTTCTGAAATGACAACTTCATTTGACAGTTATCTTTTACCTTGACTGGTGCTCATAAGTAAATACAGGGCCATAAGAAAGGAGAAATATTTAAAAAGAAATCGGCGATAACTCGTAAACGAGCTAATCAAAAATATCTAAAGTTATTCTTTTGAATGTGGGTTTTAGTGCTCTTCAATAAACTTAAATAGAATTATTCTCTAAAATAATTAGGGAAGCCAATATAACCCCATTAAAATTTACATGGGATTTCCTATGTCCTGTCCGACGATGCAACACCCGGTATATTCTTGATTTCTTGTCCAACATTATCTTTACTTATGAAAAATAGAAAAAGTACTGAAAGCTGCTGTTCTTGGATATATAAATGGAGCGGAAATAAGATGCTATTTTACATATTTTAAATAGTAGAGTAGACGCTATTGAATATCGGCCTGAGTTTTACAGGCCGGATATTTTAATTTACATAATATACATGCATACTTCATTTCATAAAAAGAAGTATAAAAAAGATTCAACTTCTTTTTAATTTGAACCAGGTCTTTTTGAGAAGAATGGACGCCTTCTTTAAACTTCATTTCATAGCCATCACCGACGCAGGTTTTTTTTTCGATCATACGGTACCTAGAGTAGAAGAACACAATCAGCTTTGCGCAAAAACCGGTACCGAAATCGTTTTATACAGATTTTTTGATTTCAGTATTATCATGAATCTATTTTTCTGTACCGATTGAAACCGGTCTTCCGGTATCGATTGGAACCGGTCTTTGGGTACCGGTACCGAAATCGGTATACCGGTCTTATAAAATACGATACCGATACCGAAATATCTCAAAAGTACCGGTATACCGAAAGACCTATTTACATGAGATCTGACAACTTTTTATAGTGGAAGAATTTGTGAGACTTGACATTTTTTACATTCTATGTTTTTGATGGGATCTCATTTCTTTCTGTAGGTTATCGTCCTCTTTTTTTCTAGGGTAATATATCATTCAAAATAATATTAATGAAGTTTGACTAGCAATAATTCATCAACTTTGAATTATTGTATAAAGTCAGATAATATCAAAGAATTAATTCTAGTTTTCTAACGACTTGTGTTTCCGCCTTTCGCTATAACCCAAATTTCAACTTTAAAGAAGTTTAATTCATGATTTTAACAATGCTTTTGCCAATTTTACACATAGTTTAGTTTTTATCTCGAAAACTATAAGAGATAGGTACAGGTTTGTATAATAGAAATGCATGAGAGTAATTAGATAAAGGAATTAAATAAAAACAGAAGAATTAAGTTAGCATGGAGTACTTATGGAAGAAACTCAATCATATTAAAATCTAGAATGCCACTCTATCTAAAGAAAAAAACATTCGACTAATGTGTATTACCAGTCATGACCTATGTATGCGAAATCTGGATACTTAAAGGTTGATTCTCATTATACCTTCCATATCAGCTCCCTCCCGTTCCCCTTCCGTTTATATAAAATATTATATCATGTAAATGAATAGGACAATGCACACTATCCGTTCCGTTTCCCTTTCGTTCCATATCCTTTCCTTCCATACATTTTTTTGACTGACGGACTGAAGCGTATCGGTAACAACGTTGTCTTACATCAAACCAGCTCTGTTGACATTTTGCTGATATATATTTATTCTTTCACCTCCTAATTAAATCTATTACCTTTTTCAAAAGATACAAATTTTTAAAATAAAACTTTCATAATGACAAAAATTGTACAATAAAAAGTATGGAAATGATACGGAAGGGAATAAGCTTACTTATAGCACAAAATAGAAATAAACCAGAAGGTTGACTCCCAAAATGCGCGCGAAACGGTGGCTAACCTAAAAATTCCATTATGAGCGGGTAACATCTGTCAATGTAGCGGCGTTATCGGTTTAGTCAGGGCAGGTCAGGATTTAGTTGAATTCTGACTATCGTAGAAGACAGCAGCTGTTCGTAGCGTCGAGTCCATTGAGTTATCTATACAAACTTTACCTTTCGAAATAACGTATTACGCTCAGTCTGTAATCACATATCAGATAATAAAAATACTTATTCAAGATAACTCTGACAACAGCCTGCGAAAGCGTTTTAATCCGGCCCTGAGAGTTACCCGCTGCTAATATGGCGTCGCGATTCGTGAAACGTCATCAAATTCGGCAGAGTCGGCGTTCTGGTTGATTTCTATTTTGTGCTTATAGTGTCAATTCAATAACAAATATAGAACGGATATGGAAAGGATATGGAATTTAAACGGAAGGTATAGTGAGAATCAACCATAAAATGGACATTATAAGGAAACTGCAGGTCGCACAACGCTCAATGGAATGAAATATCTTTGGAATAACCAAGAGAGACCGTAAAAGAACAGAATGGGTACGAGAAAAGACCCAGGTAATAGATGTCATCCACAGAGTCAAATCTTCCATATGGCAATGACAACAGATGGACCACAAAAATTGCAGCATGGTACCCACGAGGAATTACGAAGTCCTAGAATGATTAGAGACCTAGAAGAAGACCCCGAACCTGAGATGGGACCATGAACCTGAGATGGGACCATGATATTAGATAATTAGTAGGAATAACTTGGGCCCGCATAGCCAACAATAGACAACAATGGGCCCAACTACAAAGAGAGTATCTAAATATGCGAGAGAGGCTACACCATAATTGTAAATCGTTGAATGAGCTGAAAATGATCATGATAATGATGATGATAGGATAAACTTAGGATTATATAAAAACATCATCGTCATTTGTCGTTACTTTTATTAACATTTTAAGCTAAAGAAATATTTCTTACAAAATTGTAAACTAAATCGTATGCCCATTTAGGCTGATCCGATGGTACCATGTGTCCAGCGGCTCTGACCAGTACTTCAGTGAGGTTTCCAGCAACTTTGACGTACCCAGCTACCTCATTATCAACATACCAAACATTTCTCGCAGCTGTACTATACTCTTCAGCAGAAGTAAAGTTTAGGTGTTTCAGAAAATTGACTGTAAGTGGATATGCCACGATGATATCAAGTTGTCCATTAAAAAACAATACGCGGTAAGCAGATAAAAGCTCTGCAACCCATGGTGCAATGCTCTGCATCACATCATTTCGAAGATTATCTTCTACGTCGGTACTGGAGTAGGATAAGTTTCCCACGTGGATTGCTAAATAATAAAAATGTTATTGACTTCATCGAATTCATATTCTGCTAAAAAATAAAATTACCTTTTCTGACGTCTGCAGTCTGTATAAATGTTTCATAGCTAGAATCATCATCAAAACTTGGTCTGAAAAGATAGTTAAAGTAAGTGGTGAATCCCGTCAAGTTTTGAAACAACGTTGGTCTGGTAAAATCGCCATTTAATAAGACGTCAAAACTGTCAAAAGCTTTCAAATAATCGCCTTGTTTGATATAATCAACAGTCTCATTTTGTAATTTGCTAAATTGTTCTCTGCCTTCATCATCGACAAATCCTATTTCGTACAAATAATTTCCCAATTCAGAAATCTGATTTTCAGGATCTGTAAGTCCATCTCCTATAAGCAAGCCTTGAAGGTTTATTTGGAATTCTTCTACAGCATTTCGTTTATATATTGTATAGCCAATAGCTGGAATGTATTTTCCAGCATAAGATTCGCCAGTTATAAAAAAAGCGTTGCTAGCAATTTCAGGAAAAACTGTAAAGAACTGAACTAGGGCTTGATATAAATCTTCACCGACTTTGGTTTCGTTTTGAGCGAAACCGTTGTTGGTAAAACTGTATCCTGTACCAACGGGATTGTCAATGTATAAAACGGAGTGATTTTTAGTCCAAGTATATTCTCGAAGACTTAATTCATCGCCATTTTTAACTATAAATGGACCATTTTCACTAAAGAGGGCGTATAAACTAGAAGCTCCAGGTCCACCTAAACAATATAATTAGAGTTATTGTATTGTTGTCGGATATATACTTGTATGATCTTAGATATATTATTACCTTGAAGCCACAATAAAACAGGATCATTCTCATAGTCATTCTCCGAAGGGAAGAACCAGAAGAACAAATTAGAGTCGAACGCCTCATCAACAGTAAAATATCCTGAATAGCTTGTAGTATTTTCAAACCCAGCAATTTTAACCGAAGCAGCCTTCTTGGCTTCCTCGATCTGATTGTTCTTTAAAAGTGGCGTTAGGATTAAGGGATCGCCTACGTCATCATCAGCTGATATGTCATTTGTTCTAATAGGCTGGTATATGTTCGGATAGGCACCTTCGGAAAGGCTTAAAACTGACAAAACGACCCATATGAAAAAGGAGAAGTTTGCAATCATTGTCTGTAAGGACAAAAATGAACAGAATGGTATCAATAAAACATGCAATGAATACTTACAAATACGGAACGGAAGAACGTGAATGAATTATAAACTACCCAAAGAACTAATAAAAGGTTTTATTATAAGAGTTATCTAAAGCAATCGAGACATTCAAGTACCGTCAGATAATAACTTGTTTAAAGGACTAACATGTTTCAGTACGGGAGTTTCGAAGATAACTTAAAGATAAATTAAATATGCGGTAGGTATCTTGAAATTTAAATATCTTATAAACGTTTTAATCATGAGTAAACCTAGTTTTGAAGTGCTTTAGTAAAGAAAAATAAATAAAACTGATAAAAATTATAACAAATGTACTTGTAATATGAATAGAAAGATCACTTATGTAGACTGAAGACAATAAAATACGATATTTATAAAATTAAAAAAAACTCAAAATTTAAGTGAGGATGCAGGTAGTAATTATCACACAGACTAATAAAACTACTTTTTGAAATTTGTCAAGCTTTCGAGAATTTTATTCCCATCATCAGGACAGTTTCTAAAATGTATGTACAAATAAAAAAAGTTAAACTGTAAACGCAGCGACCTGTTCATGCAATTTCACATTTCATAAAAATAAATGTCATGATGGAAAATAATTATGGAAGCCACCATTATTATTTTTTCGTTATTTGTTATTTACCGTGCGATTTTAACGCGTTTTTTAGGTAAATTCCAGAACGCAATCAACTTTACTGAATAAAATAGTGGGTTTATATAACAAAATTTTCGAGCGCCTCTCAAAATATTTCAAATTATTATATTATTTGCAATAGAAACTAATGTTTGTAATTAAAAAATAATAATAATTTGCTTGAAACCGGGGTCAAACTTTAAAATATTAGTCCACCGTCAGAAATAACAAAATAACTAAGGAAAAAAGCGTTAATCTAGGTATAATTAGCTTAAAAACGCATAATGTTTGAGCCATTTGGCTGTTCGTCTCAAAATTCATGAAAAAAATATGGCCGTTTAATGCGAAAAATACTTATGAACAATAACATATTAGGCCAACACTACCCGTTTTGGACCTATAAAATCTTCGGATTGATAAAGTGACAATTGTAGCTATCCAAAGGCGACTTTATAGAAACAATAACTTTTTTGGAACTACATGGTAAACGATTCTTTAGAACCATAAAGTGATTTTTCCAAGAAAGTTTCCAAGCGCCATCAAATTGCCACTTAATTGGAGCGTTGTACACAGATCGCGGTGGTGGCGACTGTACATTCCATTGGTGCCACTATAACGTTCCGCCTTGTCCTTTGAAGTTATTTTTTACTTACTGTGCATTTTCTATTATTAGTGTTTCTATATTATTCAGAGCTACATGAGGTATAGAGTATTTTACCGCCCACTCTTTTAGCTCTTGTTTTATATTGTTGTTGGTTCTCGAATTAGTTCTCCTCTGAGATTCAGTTTCAGATTGGAACACTACACTCATCTACAGAAACAGCTTCAAAAATGTCTCAGTTACTACCTGATTTATGATATTCATCAGTAGGATTATAGAAAGATGTAGTTTTTGTTTCCGATGTTGATGCATCGACACGCAGTGATTCCTTTTGTTAAATTCTTCGGTAGAAAGTACTAGAATATCTAAATTTCTTTTTATTCACCTTAGGGATTTTAATAAAGCTTAAAAGCAAGTAAAAGAAAACACTAAAAGAGAGCAGCATGCGATTCAAACTGAGGCAATTACATTTATTATGGTATATTAAGTTACGGTCACTATAAAGTAGCCGTTTTTGACCCCCGTGACTTTTTAGTGGCAATGGATGAGCGAACGGCTACTTTATAGTAACCCAGTAAGGTAGCAATAACCATTTTGCTACTTTCAATGCTACTACAAATTAGAAGTAACTAGGTGTCGTGGCCGCGACTACCCCGTAACTTAAATTGTTACTATAAAGTAACAAAAATTTAATGGAGGCATTATGGTAGCACTTGTTGGTAACCCCTACTTTGAAAAGTTACTATAAAGTTTTTGGTGTTTTATGGTGTCATATTCGAAGATTCGGGTAGTTCCAGCCACTTATTTAAATTACATGTTTGCGACTTGCAATCGGGGTGTTTATTTTCTACTTTTATGGTAGGTAGGGCCTAACCGGTCACTCTCGAAATATACTTCAAAGTGACTGTTCCTTATAGAGTAACATTTTAAGTGGCAGAGTGGGCTTAGGAACTATACTTTAGGGGCAGTGACATTTTAAAAAGGACTGGGAACTATATTTGCCAGTTAGGCATGGTATTCTTTCTGGTTAGATTTCCTAAGAATATTGATATTCGTACGGAGGGCTAAATGTATTTTTTATATAATTTAATTTTTTTGAGAGTAAACATCCAATTTATTGTTCAAATATATGCATTTTACAAATTAAATTTTTAAAAATAATGTTTATCGAGAAGGATAGATAGAGTAGAAGCGCCGCGTGTTTAAAAAGAAGATAAATGGAAGTCGTTGAATTATTAAACTGACATAAAGTGTCAAATTCAAGGAGCGTAACCCCAGCTTTTGAGACCCAAGTGTCTCAGGCTCTCCTCGACTTGGAACTGATTCCCTATGAATTGAAGTTTCCCTCTCGGATTAGTTTAACGGCTTCAGCATCAGCAGCTTTTATTACATCTCTAGTGTTTATATCAATTGAACCTAGTTTGATAAACAAAGTCGCTGTAACCAAATGTAAACTCCATCCGTTGCCAATTAAAGCTCCTTGGAACTTAATTTTCAAGTCAACAGTAGGTTTATTTTGATGGATGGTGTAAGTGAGAGCTGGAACGTACTTTCCTCCGTACGACTCGTCAGAAATAAAGAAATTTGGAAAAGTATAAACGGAATTAACCATTTAAATTTAATTAATAAAAAACTTTTTTCTCTTGCGAAGACAATCCGGGAACATACAGTATACATTAATATAAAAAAATGCATAGGTATACTGTGTTTTTCCTTGGGACAGCCGAGCTTATTCTTTCTATTTTGACTCCTTGACAAGTAGAAACTAATAATATAGGCAATAATAGTATCACACTATAGAAAGGCGGTTGGACTTAATTAAAGTGATAAAAAAGGAAATGTTAATTATAGTGTAGGCTGAAAGACATTTTTTCAAATATATAAATAGATGTTATAAATTATTTTTTTTATTAAAACACAATTAACATAATGAATAAATTAAACTAATGGCAAATTTCTAACAAATTTGTATAGTAGATCGTAAGCCGCCGCTGGTTGTTCTATTGGTACCATGTGACTGGCATCTCTAACCAAAGCTTCGGTCAAGTTTCCTGCTGTTTTGACATATCCAGCAACTTTGCCGTCCACTTTCCATATGCCCCTCTCAGCAACTTTGTATTCTTCAGCCGAGGAAAAGTTTAATCTTTGCAAATAATTAACAGTCAAAGGATAACTAACTATTACGTCTAGCTGACCGTTGAAAATAAGAAATCTGTGGTGGCCGAGAAGTTCAGCAATCCAAGGGGCAACGCTGACAGTGATGTCGTCCCAAAGGTAATCGTAGACGAGACCAGATTGTTCTCCAAACTCTGCTGTACCGACATGCAAAGCTTGACTTACTTCGTCTTGGGAAATAAGACTCTCCCAATAAGATGGCTCTTCGTTGTCATTTACGTAATTGTAGATATTTGACAACCCTGTATTTTTCTGGTAAATAGAATCGTCACCGCCTAGGATAATATCTTGGAATTTTTGTGTAGCCTGTGTAAAGTTTCCCTCACGGATCAGTTGAACTGCTTCAGCTTCAACGGCTTTTATTTCATCTCTAGTGTTTATATCAATTAAACCTAGTTGATAAACAAAGTCGCTGTAAAGAAACATGTTTTCTGGATCACTCCATCCATTGCCAATTAAAGCTCCTTGGAATTTAATTTTTAAGTCAGCAGTAGGATTATTTTGATGGATAGTGTAACTGAGAGCTGGAACGTACTTTCCTCCGTACGATTCGCCAGAAATAAAGAAAGGCTTTTCCGCAAGTTCTGGAAATACTGTAAAGAATTGAATCAAAGCTGAATATAAGTCTGCTCCAACTTTTGTTTCGTTTTGGGCGAATCCCCCTGATGTATAACTGAAACCAGTGCCAGCGGGACTGTCAATGTAAAGAATAGAATGATCCTTGTGCCAGGAATATTCTCTTAGACTAACGTTAAGATCTTTGTCAACAATAAAAGGACCGTGTTCCTCAAAGAGTCCGTATAAACTTGGGGATCCAGGTCCTCCTTGAAGCCATAGAACTACAGGGGCTTCGTCAAAATTGTTTTGGGCAGGGAAATACCAGAAAAATAAGTTTGAGTTGTAGGTCTTGTCTACGGTAAAATATCCAGCATAACTGGAAACGTTTTGAAATCCAGCGTAGTTAACCTGAGAAGCATTTCTTGCTTCATTTATTTTGTTTTCGGCAATGTAATCAGTTAATATTAATTGGCCAGTTGGTGCTTTAAAAGGCCCGTTTTGATGAATTTTTGTTCTGTCATATTTAGGAAACTTAGCAGATATTTGTTGGAGAAGTACCAAAGCTACTGTAGATGCTATTAACAGCTTCATCTTGTAAATCTAGAAAAAAAATTGGATTGTAAATTTAAAAAAATTATACATAATGTGTATTACTAGTAATTAGTCAAAAGGAATATATAAACAAGGGTAATACATAATTTTTCAAGTACTAAAAACTACAGCCCTGGCAACAATTGAATATAAAATCTATCTGAATATTTTTAATTAATTTACAAAGTATATAACCAGAAAAATTTTATCAAATACTTACTTTATATCTAACTGTAACAGACTGCTGTATTCACTAATTGTGACTAGGCATATTTTTCTCTTAATTATCTCTTATAGTTGCTCGTTAGAAATAATCTAACTAATACTGATTGATAATTTTTTTTAAATAAGAAAAAAAAAATAGATAATTCTAATTGTGTTACCCATAGTTTATTTAGTGATTTGCACTTTTCTTAACATATTGTCGATAAAATATCGAATAATATCTTTAGTACCATCTTTATTTTTTAATCGATAGATTTTATAATTAAACCTTAGATCTTATTAAAATTAAACACGTAAAATAATTCTAATTACAACAAGAAAATCTCCACAAAATTTAAATTAAAAGCAAATAAATATAAATAAATGAAAAGCCTATAATTTATTCAGAGATGTAAAACAATAATATACATAATGAAACGACAATGATTAATTATTACCGTTTATTGAAAGAATTGGGAAGATACGTAACCTAATGGGTGAATTCGTGACAAGGCTGATTTGATTTCCCCTTACGTCTCAAGTGCTGTACGGTGGAGACACCAATCGTTCTGCGGTCAACGCATAAAACACTTATTTTCTCTAATTCAGCCAGCGAAAGCATATCGACGACGCGACGCGACGGTGTGGATCTGAAAGCGACAGTGTTGCCATATTAAAATATGTAATATCTGTAATAAAATTGACATTTACCAAAATATTTTACATATAAAATAACAGCGATCGTCATTCAAGCCAACTCTGACGCCGTTCTTTATTTAATCATATAATATTATATTAAATTGTTTAATGATAGAAAATCGTTAAATTATTAACGTACTGTATAATTCGTAAATCTACGTATTAATTAGTAGTTCTGGCAATACTGTCTCCGACAACTCACTCTGTCGACTGAAAGCAAAACTGCGGTACAATATTCTTTATCCGCTGCGCTGTAAATGACTATCAGCGCGAAGCGGACAGGCTGACGGTAATGCCACCGTACATAAAACTCACTGAGTTTTATGTACGGTGGTAATGCCAGCTACATCTCGGACAGATTTAGTGCAAAATCGTCTATAAGGTTGCGCATCTTCTGATTTCTTCAATCAACGTTATTACGTCATGGGAATACTGGTTCCACATAAGTCGTGATACAATAGCGACCGTTCCAAAGAACTACCCTGACCAATAATTAAAGCATACAAGGACCAATAAAGCCGGAGTCTCATGTATCCGAAATCCGACGGTACGACATCCGAAATTTGAAGTTATCCTGAAATAAGAAAAGCTTGTCACATATGTGGCGTCCAAGCCATTGCCGCCTCCAACGGTATCAGGCCCGGAGGTTCGACGGCGCAAACAGCTACTCCAACCTCGAGAAGTTTTCTCTTGCCGGTCATGAAGGCCAAGTCTACAGAGAAAAGAAGCACCGAGTGACAGTCCGCGCTGTCATCCGTCAACGAAGTCACTGAAGTTAGTCTCAGTCAGTCAGTCAAGATGGCCGCCGGCTAGTCCGATTGTGCTCCTTCGTTTCTGTTAAATTTCAGTCCAATTTATATTAATGTTAAATAAAAGTTGTTAGAACACGCGCCTCATTTCAATACGACCACGTCCCAATCTCCAAATTGGTGACCCCGCGAACCCGCGAGTGCAATGCTACCGCCACTTTATTCCTAAAGTGGTGACCCCGCAAACTCGCGAGTGCAATACTACCGCCACCTTTATTCCTAAAGTGGTGACGCCGCGACTTCGCGAGTGCAGTTTCCGCATCCCGCGAGTGCAAGATTCAGAAAAATTGGTGAGTGCACGTGCGTCGTTTTCCAAGGCCACGCTCATGTCAACAGTGTCAAATGCCAATTCTTCCTCTTTGGTAAACACCACTGGCCCTAGCTACCACAGGTACTAACTGCCATATCCCACCCCTGGCGCCAACTGCCAGAGCCATCCGAACCAAGCAACAGCTGCCACAGGCGTCTGCCGCCACAGTTGTCCGAAACGCATATCAGGCATGGAGAACTCTCCGCCAGATCCTCCGGCCGGACTCGAGGACATCCCAGCTACCACGCAGCCAGCCTCTGTCCCCGGCTCTCCTCAAGAGGTGACCGCAATAGGTCAGTGCAAATTGCCACCTTTCTGGCGAACAAGCCCGGAACTCTGGTTCTTCCAGGTGGAAAGCCAGTTCCAGGTACACCACGTTCGGAGCGATATTACAAAATATCACCTGGTCGTAGCCACCCTAGACCACGATACTATATCAGACGTCTCTGATATAATCAGAACCCCACCACTTGTTGACAGATACACAGCCCTCAAAGGAGCAATCCTAGCTCGTCTGACTGACTCTCCCGATGCGCAACTCCACAAGCTCCTCACTGGCGTGGAGCTTGGAGACAAAAGACCATCACAACTACTCCGCCACATGCGTTCTTTGGCCGGAACCCGTGTCAGTGACGACGTGTTGAGAGTGAAATGGCTCGACCTCCTGCCACAGCCCACCCGCCGCATGTTACTCTTGATAAAAAGGACAAACATTGGAGGAGTTTCGCTGCAGTGGCTGACGAAGCTCACGACATGGGACCTTCCGTCATGGCCACATCCCACCGGAACAACAATCCGTCCACAACAGCACCAAGCAACATAGTGCCAGTTCAAACAGAAGACAGGATCGCCCAAGAGCTGTCTGCACTACGCTTAGCTAACAACCAGCTGACCACGCTCACCCGCAACGCTGCACAAGGCTCATCAGAGGACAACCCTCATAGGGGACGGTCCAGCAATCGCCAGCAACAGCAGCACAACAGGGAACGCTCAGCTACACCTGGTCCCAACTCCAACACAGGCCACTGTTGGTACCATACCAAGTTTGGTACTCTCGCCGTGCGGTGCAGGAAGCCTTGCACCTTCGAGGCACAACCTGCATCCGCGCAGGGAAACTGACCGCGCCGGCGTTGCACGCGGCGACAGCCGCCGGCACCATCTCGGAATGCCGGCTCTACGTGATGGACCGAAGCAGTTCCATCCGATTCCTGGTAGATTCTGGTTCTGTTCTTTCCATCATTCCAAAGAAGACCATCGCTAGACCACTTCATAGGCAAAGTTTGGTTCTCCAAGCAGCCAACGGTACGCCTATTCACACGTTCGGAACACAAAGCCTCACGCTGAACCTAGGCCTACGCCGTCCATTCCAATGGTCTTTCATCATCGCAGATGTACAAGTGGCCATCCTCGGAGCCGACGCTCTCAAGCACCACGGCTTGCTAGTCGACCTCCGCAGTCGCCGCTTACTCGACGGTCTCACCAGTCTTTCCACAGTCTGCACATTGGGTCCCACGCCCAACATCCACTCCGTCAATGTGCCCGCAACACCTGCACCATCGTATCCAGAAGGCATTCTCGGTGAAACGTACAAGAATCTCATAGAGAGTTTTTCTCAAACAACAGCTGTCCCTGGAGACATGGCTTTCGTCCCAGACCTACCTGTACACCACCAGATCATCACCAGTAGCACACCAGTCTTTTCACGGCCGCGACGCCTCATCGGGGAACGCCTCGAAGCAGCCAAGCGTGAATTTGACTCCCTGCTGGAACGACGCGTCATCCGTCCATCTTCAAGCCAATGGGCCAGCCCCTTACACATGGTTCCAAAACCTGGAGGAGGTTGGCGCGCCACCGGAGACTACAGACAGCTAAACACCTGTACACTTCCTGATCGATATCCTCTACCGATCATAGAAGACCTACTGCAGGACTCTCCAGGCCAGATTTTCTCGATCATCGACCTCCACCGAGCTTTCTACCAGATACCGGTTGCACCAGAAGACATCAAGAAGACCGCTGTTACCACGCCTTTTGGTCTTTTCGAATTCGTAGGAATGCCACTAGGTCTCAAAAACGCAGCGCAAACGATGCAACGTACCATGAACCACATCCTCAGAAAACTGGACTTCGTTCGTGTGTATCAGGACGACATACTTGTTTTCTCTGACAACCACGATCAACATCAACATCACCTCACTCAACTTCTGACCATCCTGCGTGAAGCCAGGCTTCAACCAAACTGGTCCAAATGTCAAATTGCTTTACCAGAAGTAATTTTCGCAGGCTACTTGGTGTCTAAAGAGGGTTTCCGTCCTCCAGCGCCTAGGACGCAAGCCATCCTAGATTTTCCAAAGCCCGACGACTCCACACAACTCAGAAGATTCCTTGGTATGGTAAACTACTACCGGCGTTGTATCCCGCACGCCGCTGAGTTACAATCACCTTTAACCGAGCTGTTAAAAGGTTCCACTGCCAAGAAATCGACACTCAACTGGACTCCTGAAGCCGACGCCGCTTTCGAGTCTTGCAAGAAGGGAATTGCATCAGCTACGACCTCTGCCTTCCTTTCGCAAACCAAGCCGTTAGCTCTACGCACGGACGCTTCCAGCACAGCTATCGGCGCAGCACTCGACCAACAACGTTCTGATGGATCATGGAACCCCCTAGGATTCTTCTCCAGGAAACTTTCACCAACAGAGCAGCGTTATTCAACATACGACCGCGAACTCCTGGCAGTCTTCGCGGCCATCAAACACTTCCAGCGCATCCTGGAAGGAAGACATTTCACCATCTTCACAGACCATCGTCCACTCACGTTCGCGCTAGCGCAACGATCTGACAAGGCATCACCTCGCCAATGCAGGCAGTTGGATTTTGTTGCGCAGTTCGACACCAAGTTTGAGTACACACCAGGGGACAAGAATGCTGTTGCTGATGCTCTCTCGCGCATAGAAACCATCTCTATGCCAGCCACACTGACCTCCGAGAAAATCAGCACAGAACAAACCTCTGACAGGCAGCTTCCTCATCTTTTAGCCAATCCACGGTTAAACCTACAACGCAGCAACATCGACGGTCACAGCATAGTCTATTGCAGTTCCAATAACACTATTAAACCGTACCTCCCAGTTGCCCTGCGTCAACAAGCCTTTGACAGCTTTCACCAGCTCTCACACCCAAGCGGACGAGCCACAGCCAAGCGCCTGGCGCTGAAGTACTTCTGGCCAAGTCTCCGCAAGGACGTGTATCGCTGGGCCAAGCAGTGCGTTCCTTGTCAGCAATCCAAAGTGAATCGTGACAATCGTGCCGAACTCGGAAACTTCACCACACCAGACGCTCTCTCTGATCACATACACGTGGACCTGATCAAGCTCACACTATCCGAAGGTTTCGAACACTGCCTCACAATCATCGACCGCTACACCCGTTGGCCCGTAGCAGTCCCAGTTCCAGACACCAAAGCTCCCACAATAGCTCGAGCTCTCATTGACAGATGGATAGCTACCTTCGGCACTCCACTGTCAATCACCTCAGACCAAGGACGTCAGTTCGAAGCTGATCTTTTCGCCCAGCTCAGCCAACTTGTTGGAGCCAAGCACATACACACAACTCCGTATCATCCACAGGCAAACGGCATGGTGGAACGCATGCACCGCACCCTAAAAGCAGCTCTCAAGTGCTCTCCAGAGACACCCTGGACTCGCGCCCTCCTCGCAGCTCTTTTAGGCCTCCGCACAACCTTCAAGGAAGACCTTCAAGCTTCGCCAGCAGAAATGGTTTTCGGATCGTCTCTCCGCATTCCCGGCGAGTTCATCGCACCTCAAAACGTTTCTCACAGCAGCCCAAGCGATTTTGTAAGCGATCTGCGTAGCTTATTCAGAGCTATCCGTCCTGTGCCAGCCGCCAGACACGCCAAACACCACTCGTTCGTTTTCAAGGCCCTGAAAACATGTGACCACGTTTTCCGTCGCATAGACGCCGTCAGGAAACCTTTAGAACCTCCTTACACCGGACCTCATCGAGTCATCCAAAGAATCGACGACCGTTCCTACATCATTGACATCAATGTTTCTCCGAAGACTATCTCCACGGATCATCTCAAGCCAGCCTACCTCGCATCGGCAGATGATCACAATGCCCAGACGCAGTCTCAAGCACGCAAACCAGCACCGACTCAGTCTTCGAAATCCCAGCTTCCACCGTCTACCTCAGACGAGCCACCTCAACAAATCCCGACTAGCACGCCGCCTCCGCTGCAGCATCCACCTCAGTCACAGCGACATCAGCCTAGCATCCTCCTTCCGAAGAAGCGAGTTACATTTTCATGTCCTTCGCAACCCGCGAAGTCCATTGGGGAGGGAGTGACTGTGGCGTCCAAGCCATTGCCGCCTCCAACGGTATCAGGCCCGGAGGTTCGACGGCGCAAACAGCTACTCCAACCTCGAGAAGTTTTCTCTTGCCGGTCATGAAGGCCAAGTCTACAGAGAAAAGAAGAACCGAGTGACAGTCCGCGCTGTCATCCGTCAACGAAGTCACTGAAGTTAGTCTCAGTCAGTCAGTCAAGATGGCCGCCGGCTAGTCCGATTGTGCTCCTTCGTTTCTGTTAAATTTCAGTCCAATTTATATCAATGTTAAATAAAAGTTGTTAGAACACGCGCCTCATTTCAATACGACCACGTCCCAATCTCCAAACATACATCCGAAAGTTCGTTCCAAAATTTGACAGTTTTGACATTTAGACCTGTCATTCCTATCAACATTAATTTTTAGTTATGGCAGAGACAATCCTGGTTATGGTTATAAAAATAACTTCTCTAACTTCTAACCTCGCCAAATATCCCGAAATTGCCCACTTACCACTAAACTTGTTTTTAAAAACCAATGTTTTCAAAAAAAGTGAGGTTAAAAAACACACGATATCGTATAAAAGTTAAACAAAATTTAACTTTATACGACGTCGGACGATTAGTTAAAAATATCGGATAAAAATTGGTGTCAAAATATTTCGACCAATAAGAGCACCGTCGGATCGTCGTGTCATCGTGCATGAGACTCCGGCTTAACAATGTGAGGATAAATCGCCCAGGCTCATCCAACGTTGCCAAATGTCCACTCACTTTATGTTAGCGGAACGAAGTAATGCCTCTCTATAGTTCATTTACAAAAGCAGCAGTGACTCAGTTGGTGAGGCACTGACTCGACTTGGAGATACTTTTTTATATAAGAACTTTTTTATAATTTTAATTGCGTTGGTTATACTCTTTTTGGAGGTGATGGATTTATTATTTGGGGAGGGGGGGTTAGTTGCGTTGGTTAACTTGGTTATTTGGTGGGGTTGATTGCGTTGGTTAGGTTTGCTCTTTGGTGGGGTTGGTTTGGTTTTTACTATGCTATTTTGCTATGCGTGTTTTGATTGCGTTGGTTAGTCTCTGGAGTAAGTTTTTTTTAAATTGCACGCGAAATACCGTAACCACCGTAATAACAAGGCCGGACAGCTGTGACGTAAAAATCTCGTGACGTCACCAACTGGAGGCTAAACTCTATTTAGCAGTGTTGATAATTACTCGATAAAAGTTCAAATTGTGGATCTTTTTTCACTCGCCAGATATATTTTGAAGTTTTAAAATGTCTTTTCCGAGTTTTTAAAAATATTATAGATATAAAAATAGTTTTAATAGAATACGGAAAAAATCATACCAGTCAATTAATGTTTATCTCTCACTTTTTCTCAATCAAATTTAATAAAGGAATATTTTAAGTTCACAATAGTGTATAATATGAGAAAAAAACAATTCGATATTTCACGGCCCCCTGCTCCGGGGCTACGGCGCGGCGTCGCCTTCGCGTAGCGGCGCCTGTCGTAGCGTGTAGCGGAGTGGTATTGCCGCAGTTGACAGTCATCGATTTATCGGTATGTGTGCGGACGTGGTAATTATAATCGATAATAGAAGGGCGAAAAAAGTTATAAATCTGTAAAAAGAGGTGTTTAAACTATAAAGTGATTATAAGTGTGTGTAATTATACAATTTAAAAGATATAACATCTTATAATATCTAAATAATAAGATGTGAATATTATATTTAAAACTATATTTCTTCTGTTTTCTCAAATATATTTATATGTATTTTCTAAAGTTTTTACTTATCTTTTACCTCACCTCAAGCCTTTCATATTTGAAAGTTTCATAAACTACACCCTCTACATCGATTAACATTAGTTTTTAAGAGTAACATGTAGTTTTCCGAACCCTGATAGTAATACTGATCAAATTATTAGTCATGCTTGTTATTTACTAAATTCTTTAAAATGCGATGAAAATATTAAAAAAATTCTAACTTTTATCTGTGTTCAATATTAAAGTTATTAACTTGAGTTCAGTAACAGGTTGAGCTTGAAGTAATAAAATATTGTTTTAATGAGTAAAATATGAGGTATGTTTTACTAGAGAACTTACAAACTGATCCTCTTGAAAGTAGGCTTGGAAAATATAGACAGTTAGCCGGGAGTCAGTACAGTATTTGTGTTCGACATTTATATGAAGGCGAAAAGAAACTTAAGATTCAGTCATTAATGTCCCTAAAAATAATTTAACATTTTCAGACAACATTGATATTGAACAAAATTCACTTATAAAAAACCTTACTAAGGCCAGTCTTTGGTTTCCAAAAGATGAAATAACTAATACAGTTTTATTTGAATATATAATTTTTAACAAAGTCTTGCAAAGCCATGAGGAGTTTCTCAAAATTCACAATAAAAAAATATTTATATAAAAATATCTTTGGATTACATTAAAAGTAATAACACACCATTATTAAAATTTCCGTAATGTACTATTTATATATATATATGCTAAGTTATTGTAAAAATTGTCATAAATTCTATTAGAAATACACGTCTGAAAAACTACTGTTGTTAAAAAATAAATGATAGACTTGGAAAAGGAAATAAAAGAAATTTAGACCCACTTACAGCATAACTAAATACAATGACGTTGGATAATGTGAGATGGGATATCAATCTGATGTTTTTCAATTTATGTTTAATTATTATTTATTAAAAATTCGGTCCAATTAAAGTTTATATCTATTATGTACGTATAAAATGTACCAAATGCAATCAAAGTTTAGGCCTCCAGTTGATGACGTCACGAATAAGCCGTCCGGCCTTGTTATTACGGTGGTTACGGAAATACCCGATAGAGTAAATGTGAACATTTGGCAACGTTGGTTGAGCCTGAGCGACGAAATCTCTCGTCCAATAACACCCTAGACCAAATGGTTACCATTTGTCTCCAAACAGTGCCGTGCCACAGGGTTAACAAAAAAAAGTGAAGGACTAAATAAAAATTGGAATTTTAATTGTTTCACCGATATCTTTGATGAGTTGGGTTGGGGGATAGTGTAACTCTTTAAAAGTAAGTTTTATTTTATTTCTGTTAAACACCAGAAATCAACAGCATTCATTTTCTGCATCGTATTTACAAACATTTTACTATAAACCCATTATCAGTTTTATTAATTTTTATTAAAAACCAGAAATCAAAAAGATTACCTTTATTTTGCTTTTTGTTAAAAGCTTACGCGATTTTCACAATTAATGGCTCATTTATCTATACATTTTTAAATCGTATTTAACAGATACTTTAAATTTAAATTTTCAAAATAATATCAAGGAATGCCGAATTGGTCTTTATTCAGATAATTTAAAAAGCATTTCGTATTTTTGACCATCGCACTGGTATTTCAAATAATATTATCTATGTATGGTTTGGTTTGATTTGTAAATTGTTATAGATTAATCTATAACAATTTACAATTAGTGGCGCATTTAGAGATTGAGCCTGGGAGGCTTAGCGGCAATATTTAAATAAAGTACTAAATTTAAATTATATTTTTGTTGAAAAATCGACGCATTTTTTTTAAATATTGACTTCCCTACAATTATAACCACGAGCCGCCACTGAAATTTCTGACTGTTGAAAGAAATATACTTTAATTGGTTAGTTGTTCTATTATGATTGAGATTTTGAGACAATTTTATTTTATAACCCATTTTATTTTATTCATATATTTCTTCCTGGGAGGGGTAATTATTAACCACTAGTACCACTCCAGTATATGCGCCTCTGTTTATAATACAAATGGGTTTCCCTATTGTATCTGCAATGATCTAATTTTTACATTTCCAGAAATCTATCCTAATTGAAAGACGAAGGCCCGCTGATTAAAACAAAGTGAAACAAAGTAACACTGAACTCAAGTTTTATATTTATTTTACACTTACGGAATTTCCAATAAAAATGTGTAATCTACTGTTGAAAATGTTAAAAAATGAGAATATTAATCTGATGTGGATCTATTAATATTGAGGTATGTTGTAAAGTAGTACTACTTATTATATTCTTATATAAATATTCTCAAGGATTATATTAAAAGGTGGAGGGATAAAATGATATTATAAGTATAATATATTATAATTATTAGTATAATAACGATCTTTAACTAAACTAATTTGGAGGATGGAATTGTTTTGCTGTAAGTGAGTAAAAGTTGTCTCAAACCATTATCTTCTACGTCCCAAACATGTGCTCATTCTATTTTTTGTTGAATACAATTCCCCGTATATTTCATTGCTCTCAGTCATTAGCGTAACTATATTCATCTTGGGGGGGGGGCCTAGGGCTTTGTTTTTTAAAAATGAAGAATAATAATATTAAAAAATAAACACATATTTGAATAAATTTTTTTTCTTGGGGATGCCTAATACAACGCAGGGTGGACCTGGCATCTCCGCCCCCTCTCTACCTACAGACTACACCTACCTACTACAATGGGCCTAGACAAAGAGTGTATCTAAATATTTGAGGGGGGCTACACCATAATTGGAAATGGTTGAATAAGCTGAGAACTTTGAATAAGAAGACTAAGGAAGGAGCATAATGCTATCCATGTTCTGTTTGACGATTCATTTGACACATTTGAATTTGATTTGAAATTTTGTGGATTTGTCAGTCTTTACGGATCTTATTTTATGTTATTTATTATTTATTCTACTACTGATAGTTGTATAAAGGTAGTAAATCTAGATGGAAATTGTGGCAGCACTTAAATTAACAGTGACACTATCGCGATTTATCAGAAAAAGACTTAAAATAGTTGGTTGTGTAGCGTGAGGTAGATCTCGGCAAAATTGGTAAATAATGGAACAACTTTCGCTAGTAAGTGACTATATAATATACACACATACGTGTAGTAAACCGATCATTTATGGAATTCACTTAAATTAACTAATTAAATATTTGTTCTTGCATTTTTGCTTTTATTTACTACTTGTCAAAGATTAGATGTCAAAGAATATAGATACGTCAATTTGACTTACCTGCTTCAGTAGCGTATCGGATGTTTATGGTTATAAATAATTATTATAACTTATCTATTTTTATTAGAATTTTATATTTTTATAACAATTTTAATAACTACCAACATTTATTCACAACGTAAAATAAACTAACAAATTATTGAGTCTACCCCACGTCTACCCTATATCATAGTTTACATTTTTTAAAATTAGAAACGACACTGATAAAACCGGAATTTAAGTCGGCCATATTTGAGGCCCATCGCGGTGTACCTAAGATTTTTATATGCTCCTTCCTTAGTCTTCTTTATTCAAAGGCTGAGAATGATGATGATAGCGATCTTCATTTTATAGCCAGATCTGTGGTTTTTTGATGACAATCAAAACGTTGCCGCCAATATGTTTTAATAATAATTTATTTTGAAGATCATATTCCGTTCATAACGTACATTGATCATTCGGCTCGGAAATGACGATCGATGACATACTGATTTTTAACAAAGTGTCGCAATATGACATGGCCAGATATATTGTTGCTTGACGTTTAAAGTTAAAAAGAAAAATATGTATACGCTTTAAAAGTAAATCTTAAATAACTTAAAACGATTTATTTTAGGTATAGGAACATGTATAATCAAACAGCAACTAATTAAAAACCTTTTCAGTAGTAAATAAAGAGGTAGGTTTCCATTTGGAAATCAATATTTATGATCATTTTTTAATCTCTCAATTCCATGACAGCTACGACCAATATTATCTGCCATTCAGACAATTTAATTTTTGAAATAGATAGCCACATGTCTTCTTCTTATGTCACAGTGGCTGTGATAATCACTAAATTTAAAGCCATATACAATTTTTTTGATAGGCAATTTTTTTTCCTGAGGTTTGATATCAAACTTATAAAATTTTATAATTTAAATATGTAATAAAAAATAGGTGTGTCCATTTAAAATAAGAAAGTTTGGTTTGCTCGGTGGTTGTGTGGCGTAGAGGTACAGGCTTTCGTCTACCAATCTGAAGGTAGTGGGTTCGATTCCCACACCCGGCATTTCATCAGCCGACTGTTTTTATTAAAATAAAAATAGTTTGGGTACCTAGGTCGACTCAGCCTTAAATGAGTACTTGGGATTTTTTTTTTGTGTACCGAACGGCTCTAGTATGGCAAGCTGTACCTTGCGTTTGGTTTGCCCTGGGTATTCCCAAGGCGTTAAACGCTATATACGGGAGCTATTATTATATAAGTTTGGTTTGCTTTCAACTTTCTGTATTTTCGGAAGTGCCATATTGAACATGTTTTCAATCGAATATGTTTTCAATTGAACATTTCAATCGATCTAATTGTGGAACAATGATGTGCAAAAAATCTTTGATCTAGATGTTGTAGTTCTCTAGAAACTTCTAATGCATGCTCAGCCTGGGAAATTTAAATATGTAATAAAAAGTATACTATTTTGTTTATACTATTATGTAATAAAAAGTATACTAAGTATACTATTTTAACTGAAAACCTAATTAATGATGTTGTTTAATTGAGATAACTAATTCTAATATGGGCTAGATTTATTAAAATATACATTTTATGATTCCTATGACTTTAGAATCTATGATAATCTGAGTACTTATTCAACATATTGACTTTTCCATCGATCAAATTAATTTTACAAAAGAACTTGAAATATAAGAAAAAAAATCCGTGAATTAGCTTTAAATCTTATCTATATTTTATATAAAGGACATTTATTATCCATCGGTTTAGTATCAATAGGTTGATCGTGTAGTACAATGTAAGTTTATTATAAATTATTTTAGATAAAATAGTTATTTGCGTAACTAGTGCAAAACGGACATATTTGTTGCACGACGCGACTTTTGCAGCTCGAGACGAAGTCCAGAGCTGCAATCATGCTGAGTGCAACAACTATGCTTTTTGTACATGTTGCGCACAACATTTATCTACGATCAAATTGAAATTCTTATTTAAATGTTTATTAAAAAGTTTTTACAGAAATTCACAGAATAATATTACCACTAACAATGACAATATTCAATCGAATCAATTATTTTTATTTTTTTTTAATAACTTTTTTTGAGTTGATTTTAATTTTAATGTCGCAGTTTGAACAATTCACTGAGGTAATTGATGGACAAACTGCATTTCCAGTAGTCTTATGAATTTTATTCTCATTTCTGCTCGTGGAGGTCCCGGGTTCTTGTTCACTTAAAACTCTTTTCCGGAATGTTGCTGCGAGGTGTACTAGTACTTGATTTACCTTCCAGGATTTGACGAATTTTTACAAAAAATTACAAATTTTTTCTCTTTAGTTGCTTGTCATTCACAATATCAAGGTGTTTTTTACACTAGTGCAAAAAGTAACTTATTTTTTGCACTACTGTAAAAAATTTGACTTTTAATACAGTAGATAATGTAAACAATAGCTACTTTTTGCAAGATCGTAGAAAAATATGTTTTAAACATATAAAAATATATAGTTTTGTAGTTTAAATCTCGGTTAAAAAAAATATAAATTATGCCAAATTATTGGTCAAGATTAATTAAAAATAAAATATTAACCTAAAATATTAAAGTTATTTATTAGGAATATATATATTTTGTTTATTTTATTCTATTTTAGGGGGCATCTAATAAAAACAATGAAAAAAGCAATACTTTTCCTAGTTATTGCTGTTGTGCTTGAAAGTACTTATGGAAAATTTCCGAGGTTTAAAGACCATCAGGAAAAAATTTATACTCCTGACGTAGACGTAGGACAGCCTCTTATTTTGACTCCTTATTTGGAAAAAAATCAAATTCAAGATGCTAGAGAAGCGGCTGAGGTCCACTTGGATGCTTTCAAAGATGTCGTCAGTTACTCTGGATATTTTAACGTGGACAAAGAAAATAACGGCAGTCTCTTCTTCTGGTTCTTTCCATCTGCTGACAACTACACAAACGACCCTGTTGTATTGTGGCTTCAAGGTGGTCCTGGATCTTCTAGTTTGTACGGATTATTTGACGAGAATGGACCATTCATTGTTGAAGAAGACGGTAATGTAACTTTGAGAGAATATTCTTGGCATAAAAACCAATCTGTTATTTACATTGACCAGCCTGTTGGTACTGGATTTAGTTTTAGTGAATCTTTCGTAACTAACCAAACTGAAGTTGGCGCCCACTTATACGATGCTCTCACTCAGTTTTTTACATTATTTCCTGAGCTACAAACAAATGACTTTTTCGTGTCGGGTGAGTCATATGCCGGAAAATATATTCCTGCTATTGGCTACACTATTTTCGAAAACAATCCAACAGCAGAATTAAAAATCAATCTTCAAGGACTCCTTATTGGGAACGGACTTAGTGATCCAATAAACCAGGTTTCTTATGGAGACCTTTTGTATCAGCTAGGTCTGACTGATAAGAATGGCCTCGAGAACTATCATAACCAGGAGCAGCAACTTATTGAATATATTAAAAACGAAGATTTTAGCAGTGCTATAAATGCATTCAACAATATCTTTGATTACTACGAAAATAATACTGAATTGTTTAACGTTTACAACTATCTAAAAGATGAACTAGACGATTCAGATGCTTATGCACGTTTTCTTAACACAGCTGAAGTAAGACAAGCTCTACACGTTGGCAACCAGCAATACAGCTCTTTGTCATATGATGTGTATGACGGTCTTATGAACGATATGATGAAAAGTGTCGCTCCCTGGGTAAGCACACTTCTCAGCAACTACAGGGTTCTGATTTTTAATGGGCAGCTAGATGTGATAGTGAATTATATTTTAACGGCAAACTACCTTCAAAAATTAGATTTCAGTTCGGCTGAAGAATACAAGAACGCTACCAGGAAAGTATGGCACGTGAATAATAAAACCGCTGGATATTCAAAAGTAGCAGGAAATTTGACCGAAGTACTGGTTAGAAATGCCGGGCATATGGTTCCTGCTGAACAACCTGAAGCTGCATATCAATTATTATACCGTTTTATTAGAGGATTATCCTTAGAATAAGGATATTATATAAAATGTAAAATATATTATATAAAATGTAAAAAAAATAAATAAATTATTTCTGGATTAAAAGCTTGTTTTGACATTCACGGTAAAGACTACGGTAAGACTAAAAATAATTATTGTCAAAATATAGAGTCATTTAGTAATGAGTAGGCGCATTTTTGATTTCTTAAAGATTTAAAATAGAAACGGCTAGGGAATCGGGTCTGTTACAGTAGCCCCCCCCCCGTTCTCCAAACTCTTTAATATTTTAGCACTGTATTGCACCCACCTAGCACTACCTAGCACCCTACAACCCCTAGCGAGTTACAGGACATTTTTACCGGGGGGGGGCTAATGTAACGCTAGCCCCCTCCCCCCGTTTGAATATTTGCCTTAAAACTTTAGCGCTCTATTGCACCCACCTAGCACTACCTTGCACCTAATTTGCAGAGCTAGCACCACACCCCCAAAAGAGTTATAGTGTATTTATTATTTCGCTTTATTTTTATTTCCATTAAAACTTTAGCACTGTATTTTTAACTTTAGCACCCACCTAGCACTATTTAGTACCTAACTTACAGAGCTAGCACCACACTCCCAGAAGAGTTATAGGTGGTTATAGCCAATGCACCGTCTAAAATTTTTTAATTAGAATATTTTTAGACGGTGGCCATAGTTAAGTCTGTGGTTATAGCATATTTTCACCTTGCGCACAGTGCGGCGGACGGTAATTCTAGCGGGACAAAACCGTTTTGTTAGAAATAAGCCAAAAATGTGTACTGATGAATTAATTGTAGGCATTCCAATATATATAAAAATGCATCAATTATTTTTTGGTTATATATATTCTTTGTATTTCGATATATTTTTATCAACTAAAGCTCGTTTTCTGCTCAGCAAGGCAGAGGTCATACGAAAACAAAATATTTACAAGTGCTTATACATTCTATTCCAAAACCAAATTATGTTATTTACTTTTATACTACACGTATATTATTCGTTAAAATATTTCGTGCTTTTGCTCTGCAGATATCAAACTTTCACTTGTTTTATCAAATATCGATATATTGAATGATGTAGATCTTTTGAGTTACCAATAGTTACCAAAAAGTAGTAAGCAATTTTGATGCTAGAATATTTGTAGTTTCCATGCCGTTATTTATTTGTACCGGGCGTTGCCAAATTGTTGAAAAAAAAACATAATTTTTAGGCGTTATAATAAAAAAGGCGTTTTAAAATCAACATCTAAGACCAGTTTGACCGTTTTGTGGAATGTCGTGATGCAATTTTTGTATCCCAACTTTCTTAGTGACAATAAAACGAAAGATGTTGAGACCCATTTGCAATCATTTTCCATTGTTTTATATCGATAATAGAAAAAAAGTTGCTTTTCCTTAAACAATTTTCGCAAATAGAATAAATCGTGGCTAGAAGGCATTTTATTAGTTACAGGGAATTCAAGCTGAACTGGTGGACGCTTAAAAGTTTAATTTCAATCGGCTAGGTAGTATAAACACGAAACAAAGACTCGTTAAAGGGTTAATAGAGGACCTTTCAGAAGAAGATTGGGTTTTGCAAGTACTGTGAGCTTTAGGTCTAGTGGGAGTAGGGATGCTGCTGTAATAATTGTTGAAAACACTGAAACTCTATCGAAAGGCACTAAGTTCAAAAAATCAATGAATGACACCAATAGTCAGTTCGGCAATTTTCCTCAAGACAAAAACATCCACATGATGTTCTAGTTAAATAAAACATGATGATATGCAAAAGCCTTTTTTAAATTTCTTATAACTTCTAATAAAATTAAATGATTTATTAGTTTTAATAAAAGTTTAAAATATTGTCTTAGATCCTTACTATATATGTATATATATAAATTAAAACTAAACATCTATTTTATTTATTTTTTAATAAAATTGTATTTTTTAAAATAAAATATACAGGGTGTAACAAGATTACAAAGTAATTAAGAAATAACTGCTAAATAGAGTTTTTTGTAAGTGTTTCACCTGATATCATAATTTTAGTTATTTGGCAATAGTTTACAGTACGGTTTTTGTGTCATGTATATTATAACAGTTTTATGCCCATTAGTTTTATTATCTCGTATTACGAGATAATTTGATTAGTTTTATTATCTCGTATTACGAAGATAATAAAGTCCCAAACATCGCTGATGTTTTGTACCACTAGAATTGCCATCCGCCCCACTGTGCGCCAGGTGAAAATATGCTATAACTCTTCTGGGAGTGTAGTGCTAGCTCTGTAAATTGGGTGCTAGGTAGTGCTAGGTGGGTGCAATAGAGTGCTAAAGTTTTAATACTAGCGGGACGCGGAAAAATTCAACCGTGGGGTGGGGGCTAGCGTTACATTAGCCCCCCGGTAAAAATGTCCTGTAATTCACTAGGGGTTGCAGTTCTAGCTCTGTAAGTTGGGTGCTAGGTAGTGCTAGGTGGGTGCAATGCAGTGCTAAAATATTAAAGAGTTTGGACAACCGGCGGGGGGGGGGCTACTGTAACGGACCCGAATATGCTATAACTCTTCTGGGAGTGTAGTGCTAGATCTGTTAATTGGGTGCTAGGTAGTGCTAGATGGGTGCAATAGAGTGCTAAAGTTTTAAGGAAAAATTCAACCGGGGCGGCTAGCGTTACATTAGCCCCCCTCCGGTAAAAATGTTCTGTAATTCACTAGGGGTTGTGGTGCTAGCTCTGTAAGTTGGGTGCTAGGTAGTGCTAGGTGGGTGCAATACAGTGCTAAAATATTAAAGAGCTTGGACAACCGGGGGGTGGGGGGCTACTGTAACGGACCCTAGGAAATCTAGGAATAATACCGCCAACACCGGTTATATTACAAGATTAACGATTGTTAACAAATACATAATCACAAAATAACTAGATATTATTAAACCAAATGAACTATCCAATATAATACTTAGCGCAAACTTGATCCAATATGAGGGTAAGCGTTTGCAACATGAAAACAAAATTATATTTACACATTTTTCCCTTCACTGACTTCCCTTCATTTCAGCCTGTAGTTTTATTTATGTTTATCTATATTTTACAAGAGAAATACCGAAGCAATACTGAAAAATCTCTTATTCTTGTTCATGTGTATACAGGGTTGTTCATCACATACGACACGGAGTATTGTAGCTAAATGATTAGATTTTTACAAACTCTAAGTTTTGGGTTCGTTGAAAGACTATTAGGGCTACAATTTAAAAATAATTTTACATGATACAGTGTGTTCCAAATTAGTAAAAAATATTATAGTTGTATTTTTTTAAATGGAACACCATGTATATTATTCCATTTTTAGATTCTACAATTGAAAAAAAAAGAAAAGGTAAATTTGATCAAGGTTTATCATACTTAAACCTTACCGTTTTCGAAATATTTTCAATTTTGTGAAATTGCAGTAAAAAATTTAAGGCTTTATTTCTGCAAAGGTATTAAAGGTTTTAATACTAAATAATTACTGAAGATTTTTTATTGAGCAGATATTGTGTTGTAATAATAAAAATTATGCTACCTTATACAGAGTGTCCAAAAATTTATATTAAATAAATACTAGTTTTAAACGGCAACAACTTGTTTAATTTAAATGGAACATTTTGTATATTTTACGTGAGTCAGATGCACAACTTAATTGTCTATCAAATTCTATTATACCATTTTTATCTGTCTCTTCAAGTTTTCGTAGAAAGTTCATTTTCTTATAATTTAGACCTCATTTATCACTATACCCATGGAATATTGACATTTTAGATTTTTTTAAAGCAATATATGTACAAAATGTACAGGTGGTAAACAAAAATAATAATATTGCAAGCCTATTTGTTTATAAAAAGAAAACTATTTAAATCTTTGTAAAAGAGTATACTAATTATTACTAATAATTAATTATTAATATACCATCATTATTTCCACCCTATATTAGTTAATTACACTTAATTGTTTTAGTTATTAATTAATTGTTTTAGTTAATAAATTATTATAAATAAATGTGGATTTGACTCAGAAACTAATACAATAATGAGTTATGAAAATGAAGGTCTCTGTTGTTATAAATAAGCATTCATCAAAAAATTAAATAAAATTTACAAGGTGTTACTTTTTACGACACTGTTTAATACACATACCAAATTCAGTTTTTTAGTATTTGGAGCAATTATTATTAATCAACGTAAACAGTCAATTAATGTAGTTTGAATTCTGGGATCATATTAATAGGTCCTCTTTAACAAAAAATATTTAAACAGTTTTTTTGTCTTGTAATGAAATAAGCGAACTATATCGACAATATTAGTATCTGTACTCTTGAAAATATGTTACATCTTTAAAAATAATCTAAAATGTCAATATTCCATGGGTATATTGATAAATGAGCTCTAAATTACAAGAAAATGCATTTTCTACTTGAAGAGATAGGTAAAAAATGATATAATACAATTTGATAGACAATTAAATTGTCTATCCACCAAAACCACCAAACCAAACCAAAACATATAATATAGAGGGTGTTCCATTTAAATTAAACAAGTTATTGTCGTTTAAATCTAGTAATTATTTAATATAAATTTTTAGACACTCTGTATAAGGTAGTATTTTGTTTAATCTTGCAACACAATATCTGATCAGTAAATATTTAGTATTAAAAACTTCGATACCCTTGGAGAAATGAAGCCTTAAAATTTTTACTGCAATTTCATAAAATTGAAAATATTTCAAAAGCGGTAAGGTTTAAGTGTGATAAACCTTAATCAAATATACATTTATTTCAATCGTAGAATCTAAAAATAAGATAATATACAGGGTGTTCCATTTAAAAAACTGCAACTCTGTAATATTTTTTACTGATTTGGGACACTCTGTATCTTGTAAAAATATTTTTAAATTGTAGCTCTAATAGTCCTTCAACTAACCCAAAACTCACAATTTGTTGTAAGTATCTAACCGTTTAGCTAAAATACTCCGTGTCGTATGTGGTGAACAACCCTGTATTCATATGTATGCCTGTTAACGAAATTGTTCTCATTTTTTTATTGAAAATATATGCTATGCGCATACTTATCAATCA